GAAAACAATTTTTTTTTTTGCGTGGACAGCCTTTATTGGTGGCAATGGTAACATGAAGGGAGGAAATACGTCAGTTCTCCATTACAGGGTGGCATCCCCAGACCCAGGCTCCCTCTTGAGCAGCATGAGAGCAATTCTTGGTGAAGCTGTTCTGCGTTATCTTTGCCTTCATGACTTTGCAGTGGTTGAAGTCTGTCCTTTGGGTTTCCCTTCTCTGGCTTCAATTGTCTTGGCCCACCTTGTGGCTGCTCATTTTGTGTTGATAATCTGCCTTCCAGGCTTTTTACACGTACTTCTGACGGCATTTCTGGGAACGTGGAGGATAAAAGTCAGTGAGCTACAGGCACTGGAGTATGTGGCCCATCCACCAAGGCCCTGTATTGACCAATAATATATACAATTGCCACCAGCTTTCCAGCTTGATGCCCAAGGAGACGTAGGCCACCTGCTGACCTCCGTGAAAACACCGAACACTGTGTTGGCAGCGTCCAGGCAAGAAGCCTGGCTTTGCCCCTGTGTTTTGAAAGTAAAGGTGTAATAAAGAGTTCTAGTCTAGGTGTTGTGACTGGAGATTATGTGTACCACTTTAGGGTTGAAGTTTATACGCATCTGTATACCTTACACATTGCCCTTTCTTTCTTTCTTTCTTTCTTTCTTTCTTTCTTTCTTCTTTCTTTCTTTCTTTCTTTCTTTCTTCTCTTTCTTTCTTTCTTGCTTTCTTTCTTTCTTTCCTCCTTCCTTCCTTCCTTCCTTTCCTTCCTTCCTTCCTTCCTTTCCTTTTCTTCCTTCCTTCCTTCCTTTCCTTTCTTTCTTTCCTTTCTTTCTTTCCTCTCCCTTCCTTCCTTCCTTCCTTTCCTTTCCTTCCTTCCTTCCTTTCTTCCTTCCTTTCTTTCTTTCCTCCTTCCTTCCTTCCTTCCTTCCTTCCTTCCTTCCCTTCATCCTTCCCTTCCTTCCCTCTCCTTCCTTCCTTCTTTCCTTTCTTCCATCCTTTCTTTCCTTTCTTTCTTCTTTCTTTCTTTCTTTCCCTCCGTTTCCTCCTTCCTTCCTTTCCTTCCTTCCTTCCTTCCTTCCTTCCTTCCTTCCTTCCTTCCCCTTCCTTTCCTTCCTTTCCTTTCTTTCTTTCTTTCTTTCTTTCTTTCTTTCTTTCTTTCTTTCTTTCTTCTCTTTCTTTCTTTCTTTCTTTCCTTTCCTTCTTCCTTCCCTTCCTTCCCCTTCCTTCCCTTCCTTCCCTTCCTTCCTTCCTTCCTTCCTTCCTTCCTTTCTTCCATCCTTTCTTTCCTTTCTTTCTTTCTTTCTTTCTTTCTTTCTTTCTTCTTCTTTCTTTCTTTCTTTCTGTTCTTCCCTTTCTTCCTTTCTTCCTTTCTTTCTTTCTTTCTTTCTTCTTCCACTTAACTATTAAAGTAGACGTCCCAATGTCCATTCTTGTATTAAAGTAATACTGTCTTCATAAAATGAGTTGGGATGTGTTTTTGGGGCATCTACCAGAGCATTACAAGTCAGGAGATGGTAAAGACGCTTGTGCTTTCATGTTCATTGCTGCGGTTTTCACAGTAGCCGGTGGGGACAGCCCTACAATAGATGAATGGGGTCAGGTGAGTGGTACAGATGCACAATGGGATTTTACTCATCCATTAGAAAAAAATAATATGTCATTTGCAGGGAAATGGATGGATCTAGAACAAATCACATTAAATGAAATAAACCAATCTCAGGGAGATAGATGACACATGTTTTCTCTCACATGAGGAAGCTAGATCTAAAATACACCTGGACGTGGTAACCATACAGGACTCTAGCACTCACACAGATCACCGTCAGGACTGAAGCAGGTTACTGGTAGGGGAGGAACCAAGAGGGCATATAAACCTCTCTGAACATTAAAAATATTATTCATTGAAATGAAGTCCAAGAAGTGGAAACCTTTTTTCTTTTTAGGGGGCCAAAGCCAAGAGTGGCTGAACCATTTTAATATTCCCATTAGCAATGTACATGTTTTCTCTACACCCTTGTTCTCTATTATATCACTTGGTATTGCCTCTCTTTTTAATTTTAACCAACCTAGTGAGTGTGAAGTAGTATCTAATTTTGGCTCTGATTTGCATTTCTCTAATAGATCATATCTTGCTTACCATTTATATACTGTCAACATATATATTTATATATTTTTCTCATTTAAATATTTCTATTGTTAACCTATATGATTTATTTGTATATTCTGAATATTGGCTCCTTGTCAGATATGTGATTTTTAAAATATCTTCTCCCATTTTGAGTTGTCTATTCATTTCTTGATGATGTCACTTAGAGTATAGAAGATTTTTGTTCTTTTCTTTTTCTTTTCATCAGTTGTATTTTTTTTCTTTTTGGCAGTATAGAGGTTTCAACTAAGGTCACTGTATTTGCAAGGCAGTTGTTCTACCACTTGAATTACACCTTCAATATTTTTTGTGTTTGTATTTTCTGTTTTTGATTTTGTTATCTATGCTCTTTCTCTTTTTAAGAAAAATTCCCCACTGCTTCATTTGGACTTATGCTGCTGATGGGCTTGGTCTCAGGAAATGGGCTCTCTCTCTGAGCTTTTCTCTCACAGCTAGTGCTCTACCTCTTGAGCCATGGTTCCACTTCTGACTTTTGGGTGGGTTAATTGGAGATAAGTGTCTCATGAACTTTCCTGCCCAGGTTGATTTGAACCAGAATCTTCATATCTCAGCCTCCTGAGTAGCTAGGATTACAAGTGTGAGCCACCTGACACCCATTTCTTTGTTGCTTTTTAAATAATCTTTTATAGCTGCTTGAAATATAAGCTCAGATTATTGAGATCCTGTTTTTTTATGACATGCATGATAAACATAAAATTCCCTTTTGGCACTGTTTTGTCTGTATCTACAAATTTAATATATTTTATTCTTATTTTAATTCAGTTCAGTTTACTTCTTAATTTTCTATGAGACCTCTGCCCTAGTTGACATTCTAACTTGGCCCAAGTTAGCTTGGGATGCCTATTGGTCTGGGTGTGTTGAGGAGGTCTGCCTGTTGGTCTGGGTATGTTGAGGAGGTCTGCCTGTTGGTCTGGGTGTGTTGAGGAGGTCTGATTGTTGGTCGGGGGGGGGTGAGGTCTGCCTGTTGGTCTGGGTGTGTTGAGGTCTGCCTGTTGGTCTGGGTGTGTTGAGGAGGTCTGCCTGTTGGTCTGGGGGGTTGAGGAGGTCTGCCTGTTGGTCTGGGGGGTTGAGGTCTGGGCTCCTCAATGGGTTTTGCCAGCAGAGGAGGAGGTGTCACCAGAGATTTCTCTGATATTTGCCTGGAGCAGTCCAGCTATACTAAAGTTTCAGTCTGAAGTTTTCTGTTTTGCTAAGCTATCACCTCCTGGCCCTTTGGAGAGGGAGAGCTGGCTTTTAGTCATGCTTTTTTTTTTTTTTTTTTTTGTCTGTGTCTATTGTGTTTCTTCAGTCCCAAGCCTGGGATATACTAGGCAAAGAGAAAATGTGGACATTCATCTTAGATTCTGAGGTCTGCCTTGTTTTTTTACCTTGTAGAGTTTTTATATGTAAGGTTCAGAGTCTTAATTGAACTTAAGTGGGAGGAGTATGGATGTTTATGTGTTATTCCATTTTCTCAGGGGTGGAAGTCCTTATTTCTTTTTCTGTTTTTTCTTTGTTTGATGCTGATTCTGGGGCTTGAACTCAGAGCCCTGCACTCCCACTTGGCCTTTTCTGCTTTCAGTTGGTGTTCTACCATATGAGCCATGCCTCCAGTTTTTTTTACTGGTTCATTGGGGATGAGTTTCTCAGATCTGTCTGCTCAGGCTGGCTCTAAATTTCGTTCCTCAGCTCTCAACCTTCTGAGTACCTAGGGTTACAGGCAGGAGCCACCAGCGCCCAGCAAAAGCTGCTCTCTTCTGAGGAGGCCTACTCAGAGCGAGGCTCCTCAGTGACCAGGCTTGTGTGTCTTCCTTCCTCATCTCCTTTTCTTTGCTTCCAGACAAATGATGCAGCTGGCAACACCTGGAACTGGCTGTACTTTATTCCTCTCATCATCATCGGCTCCTTTTTCATGCTCAACCTGGTGCTTGGTGTGCTGTCAGGGTAAGGCCCGTGGGACGGTCCCCTCCACGCTCAGGTCTTCGTAGGCTTGGTCAGCTGTGTGTTCCCAGGGTTATCGAGGGAGCGGTTGGGTGTCCTTCATGTCCTCAGGTCGAGAGGTAGCAGCAGTGAAGACAGAAGTGGGCACGTCACATGGGCCACCCTCTGGGCCTTATTTCCACTGTCCTGTCCTCTTCCGTGGCCACCCCCTGACCTCCCTCTTCTGCTCACCCTTGGCCTTGGGCCTGCTCCTGTGGTGGGAAGGGTTGCTGGAGCATCTCAACCGGGCTTTCTCTGTGCTGGGGGACTAGGCAGCCTCGAGCACTGAGAGCCCCTCTGTCAGCCCTCACCCTGCCCCCTTTTCTTAGTTCATCTCCCTACAGAGAAGCTCTGGGAAAAGGTAAGAGCCAGCTCTGGGCGAGGAGTCCCTCCTGAGGAAGGTGCTTCAGGACCCTTGCTGGAATTGGGATCTAGCAGGCTGGCAGGCCTGTGGGCAGATCACGTCTGCTTGACCTGCTATAGGCCGCGTGCTTGGGCCTCTCACCCTTGCAAAACGGAATGAGCTGTGCCCTAGAGGGGCAGAGGGTCTCAAGCCTGGCCAGCCTCTGCAGGATCTCCTGTTCAGTGCCCCTTCCTCTTGCATTGAAGATCATTGCTTCAGCGAGGGCTTTGGGGCGGGCTGCACCACCAAGCCTGGTGACTCCGAGGGGTCTACGCTGTGTTGGCCTGGGAAGGAGTGGTCACATAGTGCTCGGCTAAGGCCTGTAGTGCGCTAACACTAGAATGGCGCTTAGTGCTGCCTCTCTTGTGAGGAATGGTTGTCACTAGCATGTTGCTTCTGTGGGGAATAGCCTCCACAGAGAACAGCTTTGTCTGTGGTGTGGGCTATGGATTAGAGCTGCTCGTCTGGGGGTAGGGCAGCCAGGGGAGGCTTGGAGGCTTGAGGAGGTGACATTTCATCTGAGACCCAAAGAGGAGTAGCAGTGAACCAGGTGGAAGAGAGCTGGGGTGCTTCAGGCAGAGCGCAGCTGTGCTGGAGGCCTGGCGTTGGAGGGGCACAGCGGCGCTGCAGGGAGGGGCAGAGCTGGGCCGGTGGGCGTGGAGGAAGGCCTGGGTCTCTCCCCCTGTCCTCGCTCTGCTCCGTGTTTCTGGGGCTGCACACTGGGGCTGTCTTTGAGCTCACTGATTCTGCTTGGTGCAGGGAGTTTGCCAAGGAGAGAGAGCGGGTAGAGAACCGCCGCGCCTTCCTTAAACTGCGCCGTCAGCAGCAGATTGAGCGAGAGCTGAATGGGTATCTGGAGTGGATATTCAAGGCTGGTAAGTGCTGTGGCGTGGGCTGTGGCTGCAGGCTTGCCTTCGGTGCCGCTGCCCTGGTGGACCCCGTGGGTTTCCCTGGATCTGGTGGAGAGCTGAGACACTCGCTAGGTTTGTAGTGAGGAGGCCTTCCCCAGCTTCCCTGTGCACCAGGCAGCCACGTGGCTCTGAGCACTGGGATGCTCTCTGTCTTGAGACAGGGCCTCATGTAACCCAGCTTTCTTCTTTCTTCTTCTTCTTCTTCTTTTTTTTTTTTTTTGTCGGTTGTGGGGCTTGAACTCTGGGCCTGGGCGCTATCCCTCAGCTTTTCAGCTCAAGGCGAGAGTGCTCTACCACTTGAGCTATAGCGCCACTTCCGGTTTTCTAGTGGTTTATTGGAGATAAGAGTTTCATGGACTTTAAACCGCGATCCTCAGATCTCAGCGTCCTGAGTAGCTAGGATGACAGATGTGAGCCACGGGCCCTTGGCTTCTAATGTGGCTGTAGTTGTTGTTGTTCATCGTCGTCGTCTTCTTCTTCTTCTTGTTCTTGTTCTTCTTGTTCTTGTTCTTCTTCCTCTTCTTCCTCTTCTTCTTTTTCTTCTTCTTCTTCTTCTTCTTCTTCTTCTTCTTCTTCTTCTTCTTCTTCTTTCTTCATCTCCTTCTTGTTCCTCCTCTTCCTCTCCTTCCTTCCTTCCTTCCTTCTCCTCCTCCTCCTCGTCCTCCTCTTCCTCCACTTCTTTTTCTTCTTCTTCCTCTTCCTCCTTCTTTGCTAGTCCTGGAGCTTGAACTCTTAGGCCTGGGCACTGTCCCTGAGCTTCTTTTGCTCAGCTAACACTCAGTACCACTTCTGGCTTTTTCTGTGTGTGTGATACTGAGGAATCAAACCCAGGGCTTCATGCATGCTAGGCAAACACTCTACCACTATGCCATATTCCCAGCCCTATAATGTGGTTCTTAATGAAAGATTTTGACGTGGTCTGGACTAAAGATGGTCTCCTTATCTGTGAATGAAGTGGAGTGAAAAAGCTCAGGAACAGCACCCAGGCCCTGAATTTAAACCCTAGTACTCTCCCTTACCCCCCAAAAAAAGATGGTCTCTCTGGGTTGGCCCCTTGCCCTGAGCCCTGGCTCTAGGCTCTTTTAGTCTAGACTCTGACCTCCCTCTCCCAGTCCTGGATTAGTACCCCCTCCCTGTGGGCTCTGCTCTTTCTACTCAAACTCTTCCCAGTGCCTCCTCAGCGGTGAACTCTTTGGGTGAGAGCAGCACACAGGTGAGAGCATGTGAGAAACTCTAGGCACCCAGGCCCTGCATAGCAACCTCCTGTGTCTTCTGGGAAGATGAGGTCAGCCGTGGCTTTCCTCGGCGGTGGTTTACCTGATGTGCGACTCAGCCCTGGTTTTCCCACCATGCCCCAGCGGAGCAGCAGGCCCTCACAGAGTGTTTGTCCCTGTCTGGGCCCTCCTGGGATGGGTTCTGGCTCTGACCTGAGGCTTTGTCTACTCACAGAGGAAGTCATGCTGGCAGAAGAGGACAAGAATGCTGAGGAGAAGTCCCCTTTGGATGGTAGGTGACTGTCAATAGAATTCTTCTTCCTATCATTGGAGCTCAGATGGCTGAGTGGTTAGTGCTTGTAGGTTTAAGCTGAGTTCTGTCTGCCCTAGGATTTGGGGTGCTGTTGCTCCAAAGGTCAAGGGAAGGCTTCTGATACCTGCTGGGGCTCCCGAGGTGGGTTGAGAGCCAGCACTGCACTGGTCCCCTGTGCAGGTTGCCTGCACAGCTGCAGAGGGCTTGGAGCATGGCCATGACTGCAGTGCAGGTTTGCACTGGCCCCCCGCAGCCCTGGCCATGTCCAAGGTAAACGTTTCTGGGTCTCCCTGGTCGCTGGCCTCCCCATTGTTGAGGAAGAAGGGAGAGGAGACCATCAAGACTCCTTGTCCCTGCTGCTAGAGGACTGCAGGGGCCGCTCCCAGCACCTGCTATGCCTCGCAGCCTCTCCAGTGCCCGGGCAGGAGCTCAGGAAAGGCAGGCAGTTCCTGGGGTAGATGGTCCCATGTGCTCACGGTCCCTACCGCCCTTTGTTTAAAGCAGTGTTGAAGAGAGCGGCCAACAAGAAGAGCCGCAATGACCTGATTCATGCAGAGGAGGGAGAGGACCGGTTTACAGACCTCTGTGCAGTTGGTGAGTCTCCCGGGTTTGTTTTCGGGTTCTGTAACGCTATAGGCTGCATGCAGAACACAAACCTAACTTCTTCCCTGCCCCCAGCTGTTCCTGGAGTTTCTTTCTGCTCCATGCCTCTTCTCTCTTTAGTACCATTGCTGGCTGCCGCCGCCTTTGGCTCTACTGTGTCCCTGGCTCCAAGGGTCCCTAGCTCTGAAGGAACTGAAAGTTTCTGCTTATCTGTCTTCAGCATTGTCTATTTTCCTTCCTGGGTCCGGGTCTGGGCCTTTGCTCCATGCCCTATTTCTCGGGCAGTAAAAGGAAACTGGTTAACATTTCCTGAAGAGCTATTTTAGTTTCCGTAGGCCTGGCACTTCCCCTCCTAAGTTCTGTTATGGCTCAGCCTGCTATGTGGACACAGCCCTGGGTCTCCCTGCCGTGTGTGGGCCAGGAGCAGATGCTTGGCATGGCCAGGTCTCACCGCAAGCCTTCTTGTTCAGCAGTGGACCAGAGTGGAGCTATTCCTCACTGTTGTGACACTTATGGATAGAACTCTGAAAGGCAAACACACTCTCTTGTCTTCACTCCAACCTAGGGGCCCCCTTAGCTCCTAACAAAATACCCAGGAGGAGGTAGTGAGGGAGTGTGTGTGTGTGTGTGTGCATGTGCCCATGTGCAGGCGGAGGCTGGGAGGGGCGTGTCTTCTGAGTGTGTGTGTGTGTGTGTGTGTGCGTGCATGTGCCCATGTGCAGGCGGAGGCTGGGAGGGGCATTTCTTCTGAGTGTGTGTGTGTGTGTGTGCATGCTGTGAGGGAGGGCTGTGAGGGAGTGTATGTGTGTGTGTGTGCATGTGCCCATGTGCAGGCGGAGGCTGGGAGGGGCATGTCTTCTGAGTGTGTGTGTGTGTGTGTGTGTGCATGCTGTGAGGGAGGGCTGTGAGGGAGTGTGGTGTGTGTGTGTGTGCTTGCGCGTACAGGTGTGTGTACAGGCAGAGACCGGGAGGGGCATGTCTTCTGTGTGTATAGTATACTCTGGGTTCCGTGCCATATTGTCTTGGAGATTGTCGCTGGCTCATGAATACCGTGGGCTCTGGCTGTGGGGTACTTTCTGCTCATCTACCTGCTTAGCTTGTGGAGAAATCCTCCGAGGCTCAGTGGTTGCTCTCGTTCCTCAGACTGGTAGTGTGGTCCGTGCACGCCAAGCGCCATGCACGTGGTACAGGGCCCCTTGCCAGGCCTGGTCCCCTGAGAGGCCGCTGCTGAGTAAGCGGGCCTGCTCCCAGCGGGTTGCTCTGAGGCACAATGCCCTCAGGCCTGGTGCACAGATGAGGCTCAGCTATGTGCGTGTGTCGAGACAGGGCCAGGCCCTGTACAAAACTCTCTGGAGCACAGAGAGCATTCACTTCTGTGCATTCTGTAGCAACGCGGTGGCGTGCCCCATTCTGGTGACTTACAGTTTGACCTTGGAGCTGGGATCCGTCAGCAAGCAGACAGTGGCATGGCCGGTGGCAGCGAGGTGACTGCCATTGCTTGGGGCTGAAGAACCTATTACAGACTGAGGGTTATGACAGGGCTCTCTGCAGAGATAACATGGAAGCCCGAATCCAGGCTGAGGAGCCGGTGATGGAAAGGAGGCCGGGGAGGAAAGCCTGAGACACTGAAGCTTGCGAGACCAGGCTCTCCTGTGTGTGCTCTGCCAGGGTGGCCCAGCAGGGTGAGGAGCAGAGAGCTAGAGAAGTCAGCAGAGCAGCCTCAGCAGTCTCCCCAGATCGGGGTATGTGAGACTGCATCCAAGGCAGCGGCCATCGCCACACATACCCAGGTGTGCTTGCTGTGTTCTAGAACGAGCACTTAAGAGACAGGTGGCTCTGGTTTCTGCCTGCAGAATCCCTCAGGCCGCTGGGACGCGGGGTTTGAGGAGGAGCTGACGTTGCTGGTTCATCTAGCTGGGACAGCGCTTGGAGTGCCGTGGAGAGAGCCTGTGGTGTCAGGGAAGGTGGCCTGGAGTCCATCTCCCTCCTGGCACACAGGAGCGGGGGTCACGCGGGAGCCTTGTCTCCTCATCTGAGGACTGTGGTGGGGCCTTTACCTTGGGCAGATGGGGAAGGGCGCGTCTGAGGTTGTGTCTGCAATGTGTCTCTTCCCCTGCAGGGTCCCCCTTTGCCCGAGCCAGCCTCAAGAGCGGGAAGACGGAGAGCTCGTCCTACTTCCGGAGGAAAGAGAAGATGTTCCGGTTCTTCATCCGGCGCATGGTGAAGGCTCAGAGCTTCTACTGGGTGGTGCTGTGTGTGGTGACTTTGAACACACTGTGTGTGGCCATGGTTCACTATAACCAGCCGCAGAGGCTCACCACGGCACTGTGTATGTACCCCAGCCTTTTCCGGAGCACGCGTCCTGATAGTCTTCTCTGCTGTATAGGAACTCTGCTCTACTGCCTCAGCGCCTTAGGTTTGGCCCTTACCAGCCTCTGCTGGCGGCCTCCCCTGGCCCAGGGCCTGAGGGTTCACCCCCGTGTCCCCCAGACAGGGAGGCACCAGGCACCCTAGAGTACCTGGTGTGACATGAGTCAAGAGGTCCTGGAGGAGGACACGCTGCACCAGGCCGGTCAGACCTGTGTCTTCACAGCTGAGGCTTTACATCCTCGGTTCCATGTTCTGCTACACTGAGGCCGCTGCCCGGGGCCCTGGGGAGGCAGTGTCCAGTCTCTGGCCCTGTCCAAGCCTCTCCTGGTCACTTTTGCTTTTCTTAACACTTGGTTGAATGTGGGCATCTGTTACCACCCATGGCCAGCACATCTTGCTGTCCTGTGTCTGTGAACCTGGAGACACACACAGGAGTAGGACTTCTCCTTGTCTTGACTCTGGCTATAGTGCAAAGAAGGCAAACGGATAGGACTCATTCTCTGAGGCTGATGCTACATGGGCGGCAGGGGCTTGCCCTGCCGCCTTCCTCACAAGGTGATAAAGCATCTCGTGTTCCTGCGTTGTAGCCAGGGCTGGGTCTTCCATCCCCCAGGCGTGTCCTGTGTTCTGGGAGCTGCTGAGGTCCCCCGGGATGTCTTTTCTGACCCTAGAGGGGAACCCTGGACTCCTACTCCTAGCTCTGGCCTGCTATCACAGTCAAGCCCTGAAGGTGGCTCACAGCTGCCTAGGCAGCCACCCTCCCATCCTGTGAATCACTGAGACTGCTCCACTGCTGAAGGGCTCCAGGGAGCTGGGGACACCAACAGCCCACCACGAGGACAAACTCATAGGCCACCCGACATGCGCGGTGGGGTTCGAGGCCATAGCTTCCCAAGTGTCTGTTAAAAATCTGTTTCTCGCCTCATGGAGAAAGAGTAGAGAGCGGTAGAAGTAAAATGAATGGAGATGGTATCAGCAGACACGCTCAGGCCTGAAGGCAAGGGGTGCAGGTGGAGGTCGTGGACCAGTCTGTGCTGGCCCCAGCTCGTGGTCCTGGGGCCAGGAGTGTGGCACAGGGCACTTCTTATGTATGCTTAGGCTCAGGTTCTCGGGGCAGGGGCGGGGGTGCAGGGCCGTTCCCTCCTCTCCTGACTGTCCACCCTGTTCTCCCCCTGTTGGCACCAGTGTGGTTCGGTAGGACTGTGACTGTCCCTGGGTGTCTGCTGTCAGGGCAGGCTAGGCGTGTTGTAGGGAGGAGAGCTATCCTGCTTGCATGTGGGTCGTATGGGAGCCCAGGCCCAAAATGCCTCAACCTTGGGCCAGGCCACAGGCCGGCCTGACTGCAACCTGCTCCGTATGGCTTTCTGGTCTCTGGTTTCTTGAAACTCCTGGCCCCATTGGCATCAGTGAAGGAACATGGTTAGAGGGAGAGGTGGATGGTGGCTGGGTCTGAAGGTTTCTGTTCAGTCTAAAGGCTGGGCTGATGCAGTAGGATAGGGTAGTGCAGGATTGCTAGAAGCATGGACTCTTTTCCCCTGCCTGGACTCTGTGGCCCTGCACGTGGTTGGTTCTGCACTTGATCTCCATCCACTAGGACATCCTGATGTGCTGTCAGAACCTTCAAAGCCATGCTTGGATGGGAAGGGGAGCTGCAAAACCCTGGGAGGCCTCGTGCACTGAGAGACGGACGCGATTGCTCTGTCCCCAACACGTTAACCCCTCACACTGAAAACACTGTTAAGAGTTGCCTTCCTCTCTTCCCCTTAGCCTCCGACCCCTGTGAGCCACGGCTCACAGCGGTGCCAGTGCCGGCTCGCTGGATGAGTAACACAGGAGTAAATGTTTGCACCCCTTTTCTGGCCTCTTAGAGAGGATCCCTGTTTGAGGCTGAGGCCATTTTGATAGAAGGTTGGAGGATTTCCTCTGTTCTGAGGAATGCTTCAGTATTTGCCGCTGTGGCCTTGATATTCTCTCCCTCACGGCCTGCAGGGGTCAGGCAGAGAGTAACTTCAAGATCAGCGAGGTTGTGTGAAGAACAGGCCTGGTTTGGAATGGGTGGAGCCAGGAGGGCCAGGACTAAAGGGTGGCATGCCAGAGGCCCCTCTGTGCCTTGGTGTGTGTCTTCCCTCAGTCCTGAGGCCGGGGGCCTGCAGGGCTGTGGGGGGGACTCAGTTCAGCACCTTTGCTAGCCCACTGCTTACTGATGGCATGAGGCGGTATCACTGAGGCCTTCACGCGTCAGTGCCTTGGGGAACTTGTGTTGACTGGGCCCAGAAGGCTCGTGTGGTGATTTGTTTTGTGGGACAAACTCATGAACAAAGTTCAAGTCAAGCATGGTGCTTTGGGCATGCCTGAGGCAGAGTATCAGAAAGTCTGTGGAGGGATGGAGAGGCTCTGATAAGGTCCCCTGTGACCAGAGCTTGGAATTGATGGCGGAAGCCCGCAGAGAGCCGGCGGGAGCTCTGCTCTCCTCCACCCCAGACTCCGGTCTCCTCCCGAGGACTCCCTGGGTCTCAGCACCAGGCCAGGCCAAAGCTGCATCCCTTGGCATCCAGGATGGAACTAACATCTCTCATGGCTCTTTTTCTATCCTCCCTGTTTTGGGCTGCAGGGACAGTGTGTGGTACAGACCAGGCTGGAAAGGCATGGTCCCGCAAGAACAGGTCCCTCCAGTCAGGCTAGAGCCAGGGTGGGAGAAGTCTTGAGCTAACACTGTCTTCTCCAACTTCTCCTAGACTTTGCAGAGTTTGTTTTCCTGGGTCTCTTCCTCACAGAGATGTCTCTAAAGATGTATGGCTTAGGGCCTAGAAGCTACTTCCGGTCTTCCTTCAACTGCTTTGACTTTGGGGTGAGTGAGACAACTCATTTGGGGTCCCGTGGTGGGCTTTGGGAAGCTCTAAACTATGTCCCTGCTCAAGAATGTGCGTGGTCCCCTCATTGTGGGCTGAGCTCTGTAGCCCTGGGGATGAGAACGGCAGCATCAAGGCCGTGTGGTTCTGGCTGGTCCTGGACACCTTACCTCCATAGCACCAGCTGCAGCACTTCCCAATGCAAACTGTTGTCCTTGCTTCTCTGACCTTGTTTATGGATTCTGAGCCCCATGGTCCTGTGGATCTGACCTGGAGATAGGTACCGGTACTTAGGCTGGGAGGCAGCCTAGGCGGGGGTCTTGCATGAGGGCGTAGTGGGCTTGGGCTGGACCTTCCCTTGCCTCTCTATGTCAGTGAGGCCAGAGGTCGGTGTTGTCACCACTCACTGTGAGAATGGAGGCCAGGCACAGGCCAGGGGCCACGGAGAGACACCTTGCCCAGCCCAAAGGTGCACGCAGGGCACAGCGCTAGGGCTGAGCTCAGAGTTGGAGGATGTGGTTCTGGTGGCACTTGCCTAGAAACAGAGTGGCCGATGAGAGCCAGAGCTCTGTGAAAGCCCTTGCAGTCTGTCCTGTGGAGTGTGAGGTCGTCCAGGGCAGTCTGTCCTGTGGAGTGTGGGGTCGTCCAGGGCAGTCTGTCCTGTGGAGTGTGGGGTCGTCCAGGGCAGTGTCCCGTGGAGTGTGGGGTCGTCCAGGGCAGTGTCCCGTGGAGTGTGGGGTCGTCCAGGGCAGTGTCCCGTGGAGTGTGGGGTCGCCCAGGGCAGTGTCCCGTGGAGTGTGGGGTCGCCCAGGGCAGTGTCCCGTGGAGTGTGGGGTCGTCCAGGGCAGTGTCCTGTGGAGTGTGGGGTCGTCCAGGGCAGTGTCCCGTGGAGTGTGGGGTCGTCCAGGGCAGTGTCCCGTGGAGTGTGGGGTTACCTGGTCTAGATGGAAAGAAAACTTGAAAATTCATCATGACTCTCACCCTGGGGTCAGTAGTGGCTGGGCCAGGGCTGCTCAATAGTTTGTGCCACCAGGAGCAGGTTTTGGAGGTTCTCCTGAGCTGGGCAGGTGGAGCTGCAGGTGTTGGCATGCCCCTCTGCGGGCTTTGGAGGTTCTGAGCTGAGCAGTTGGAGCTGCAGGTGTTGGCATGCCCCTCGGCGGGCTTTGGAGGTCCTGAGTTGAGCAGGTGGAGCTGCAGGTGTTGGCTTGCCCCTCTGCGGGCTTTGGAGGTTCTCCTGAGCTGAGCAAGTGGAGCTGCAGGTGTTGGCATGCCCCTCTGCGGGCTTTGGAGGTTCTCCTGAGCTGAGCAGGTGGAGCTGCAGGTGTTGGCATGCCCCTCGGCGGGCTTTGGAGGTCCTGAGCTGAGCAGGTGGAGCTGCAGGTGTTGGCATGCCCCTCTGCGGGCTTTGGAGGTTCTCCTGAGCTGAGCAGGTGGAGCTGCAGGTGTTGGCATGCCCCTCTGCGGGCTTTGGAGGTCCTCCTGAGCTGAGCAGGTGGAGCTGCAGGTGTTGGCTTGCCCCTCGGCGGGCTTTGGAGGTTCTCCTGAGCTGAGCAGGTGGAGCTGCAGGTGTTGGCTTGCCCCTCTGTGGGTTTTGGAGGTTCTCCTGAGCTGAGCAGGTGGAGCTGCAGGTGTTGGCATGCCCCTCTGCGGGCTTTGGAGGTTCTCCTGAGCTGAGCAGGTGGAGCTGCAGGTGTTGGCATGCCCCTCTGTGGGTTTTGGAGGTTCTCCTGAGCTGAGCAGGTGGAGCTGCAGGTGTTGGCTTGCCCCTCTGCGGGCTTTGGAGGTCCTGAGCTGAGCAGGTGGAGCTGCAGGTGTTGGCTTGCCCCTCTGTGGGTTTTGGAGGTCCTCAGCTGAGCAGGTGGAGTTGCAGGTGTTGGCATGCCCCTCGGTGGGCTTTGGAGGTTCTGAGCTGAGCAGGTGGAGCTGCAGGTGTTGGCATGCCCCTCTGCGGGCTTTGGAGGTCCTGAGCTGAGCAGGTGGAGCTGCAGGTGTTGGCATGCCCCTCTGTGGGTTTTGGAGGTCCTCAGCTGAGCAGGTGGAGCTGCAGGTGTTGGCATGCCCCTCTGCGGGCTTTGGAGGTCCTGAGCTGAGCAGGTGGAGCTGCAGGTGTTGGCTTGCCCCTCTGTGGGCTTTGGAGGTTCTGAGCTGAGCAGGTGGAGCTGCAGGTGTTGGCATGCCCCTCGGCGGGCTTTGGAGGTTCTGAGCTGAGCAGGTGGAGCTGCAGGTGTTGGCATGCCCCTCTGTGGGTTTTGGAGGTTCTCCTGAGCTGAGCAGGTGGAGCTGCAGGTGTTGGCATGCCCCTCTGCGGGCTTTGGAGGTCCTGAGCTGAGCAGGTGGAGCTGCAGGTGTTGGCATGCCCCTCTGCGGGCTTTGGAGGTCCTGAGCTGAGCAGGTGGAGCTGCAGGTGTTGGCTTGCCCCTCTGTGGGTTTTGGAGGTCCTCAGCTGAGCAGGTGGAGCTGCAGGTGTTGGCATGCCCCTCGGCGGGCTTTGGAGGTCCTGAGCTGAGCAGGTGGAGCTGCAGGTGTTGGCTTGCCCCTCTGTGGGTTTTGGAGGTTCTGAGCTGAGCAGGTGGAGCTGCAGGTGTTGGCTTGCCCCTCGGCGGGCTTTGGAGGTCCTGAGCTGAGCAGGTGGAGCTGCAGGTGTTGGCTTGCCCCTCTGTGGGTTTTGGAGGTCCTCAGCTGAGCAGGTGGAGCTGCAGGTGTTGGCTTGCCCCTCGGCGGGCTTTGGAGGTCCTGAGCTGAGCAGGTGGAGCTGCAGGTGTTGGCTTGCCCCTCTGTGGGTTTTGGAGGTCCTCAGCTGAGCAGGTGGAGCTGCAGGTGTTGGCATGCCCCTCTGCGGGCTTTGGAGGTTCTTCTCAGCTGTGCAGGTGGAGCTGCAGGTGTTGGCTTGCCCCTCTGGAGGTTGGCAGGATGCCTCATATATTGTGAACACATTTGTAGAGAAGGTAGAAAATGTGCAGCAAATGGCAGTACCTGTGAGTTGTCTTGTAAATGATGTACCAGCCACACACAGAGAGGGCCGGCTACCAGTGTGGCGTCACCTGTGGGCGCGTCTCTAGTGATGCACCACAAGGCTCTGTCCTGTTGGGCTCACTCTTCCCTCAGTGGCTTGATGAGAACACCACTATCAAAATGGGGTCCGGTTTTCTGTCGGTGTGGAACTGGTGGAGATGACTGAAGCCTTGGACAATATATGGGACAAGGATACTAAAATGTAACTGAAGAGACTAATGCTCAACATTTGAGTTTTCTGCCAAATGTGAAGGAGTGGGTTAGCGAATGAGGGGAATGTGTGAGGCCAAGAGTGTCCTGCTAAGTGGGGCGGCGAGGCGCTTGCTCACCCTGTCCAGGGAGAGATTCTGGGAAGGGTGTGCTCCACCTACGTTGCTCTGCTCTTTCTGAGTCTCTTGTACCAAGCTCTGGTCAGGATGGCCTCTCCCACTCTCCGTCTGGGGGCAGTTGGCAGGAAGGGCATGCCACTTTCTCTCAAGCCTAAGTCAACTCAGATCATCAGACCCTGAGCCCTGTCAGACAAAGGAACAGGCCGTCACACTCTGTCTGTCCGTGGTGGCCTCTGTGGGGTCCTGGTTACTAGAAAAGAAAACCAAAAAAACCCAAATACTCGGCTTGCAGTTTATGAATCTGAAAATGTTAGACCTGTGGCAGGCTAGAGGGGCTGTGCGTTGAGACACATCTTCCTAGTCTGGCAGAGAGCAGCTGGTGCTCAGGGCTGGTGGAAGTGTTTACGACACAGGGAGCACCTAACCGTGAGAAAGCAAGGGTGAGGTCCCTTGGACAGGCGGCTCCGAGCACTGCCAGGACTCCAGCAGGGCCAGCCATGCTCCACATCCTTACCTTCCTGGGATGCCTATGTGGGACCAGGGGAAGGGTAGACAGGGGTCAGGACTGTGGGCCTCTGCTGCTCTCCTGGGGTTTTAGAGCTAGTAGGAGTGGCGCAACCCACACGTCCTGGATTGTTTCTGCCCACACCGAGCAACGCAGCCAACAGATGCGGACATGACTCACACCACGGACCTACCCTGTGTGCCCATTGCAGAGCCCGCTGTACAGGTGTGTCTTCCTCTAACAGGTCATCGTAGGGAGCATCTTTGAAGTGGTCTGGGCTGCCATCAAGCCAGGGACCTCCTTTGGAATCAGTGTGCTGCGTGCCCTCCGCCTGCTGAGGATCTTCAAGGTCACAAAGTAAGTCCTCTGAGTGACTGAGGTGGGGCACTGTGTCACTGTCACCCGTGTGATCAGGTCAGGGGCAGTGTGTCACTGTCATCCGTGTGATCAGGTCAGGGGCAGTGTGTCATTGTCATCTGTGTGATCAGGTCAGGGGCAGTGTGTCACTGTCATCCGTGTGATCAGGTCAGGGGCAGTGTGTCATTGTCATCTGTGTGATCAGGTCAGGGGCAGTGTGTCACTGTCATCCCTGTGATCGGGTCAGGGGCAGTGTGTCACTGTCACCCGTGTGATCGGGTCAGGGGCAGTGTGTCACTGTCACCCGTGTGATCAGGTCAGGGGCAGTGTGTCACTGTCACCCGTGTGATCGGGTCAGGGGCAGTGTATCACTGTCATCTGTGTGATCAGGTCAGGGGCAGTGTGTCACTGTCACCCGTGTGATCGGGTCAGGCTGTACAACCTGGAGTGGTGTATCTAGCAGTGCAGGATATCTGGGAGCTCTTCTTAGCTATTGGCCTGACTATGTGGTTTCTCAGTATGGAGGCCTGTGTGGGCCATTTTTAGGTCAGCATGATTCTGTTGGCCCTGGGGCTGCAGCAGGCTTGATTTTTCTGCTTCCTCGTAGTCATGCCCTCTCCTCAGAGGCATGAGCTCCAAGTCGCGCCTTTAGAAGTGGTTTGCTTTATAGTTCACAGAGAAAGCAAGTTCTCAGACGGAAGGTTCCCTGCTGTCCTGACCCATTTTGCCAGTGGGGAAGCCTCATCTTCTGACCTCCCCCGAGCTGGCTGATGCCTCCCTGGCTGCTGCACCTACAGGGCACTCACGCAGCACTTCCTGGGCAAGTCCTTAGGCACTTTCCTGTTCCATGTGTGCAGTGAGAGGAACCCCAGGGCTGCTTTTGTGTCAGCTGCAGCCTGAGCACCTTGTCGTAAGATGTATCCCTGCCTCTCCAGGCCCAGCGGTAGGCTGGGGCCTCTTCAGAGTGCGCTAGCCCTCACACAGCTTTCTTTTCTTTTCTTTTTTTTTGCTTGTCCTGGGGATTGAACTCCGGGCCTGGATGCTGTCCCTGAGCTTCTTTGTACTCAAGGCTAGCACTCTACCATTTGAGCCACCGCACAACCCCTGGCTTTTTTCTGAGTAGTTTATTGGAAATAAGAGTCACATAGACTTCTCTGCCTGGGCTGGGCTGTCTTTAAACTGCAGTCCTCAGCTTTCAGCCTCCTGAGCAGCTAGGATTACAGGTGTGAGCCACTAGAGCCCAGTTTGCACATTTTTGAAAAGGTTCATGCAGGGAGGCATGTGAGGAGGGGCATCACATAGGCGCAGGGGGCCTCAATGGGGCGGTCACTGGGCGCGCGGGTGTGTGTGTGCGTGTGCGCGCACGTGCACATTGGCTCCCCACCCACTGGTCTGCATGTCTGGAACAGCATTTGCAAGGGTACAGAGTCAGCAAGCAAGTCTCCGCAGTGGCTCTCGGTGCTTGGAGGGAAGGCTGTGATTTTGGGGCCCTGGAAGACCCCCAGGGGCTGAGGGTAGCAATGGGAATTGTCACGAAGTAGGGATGGAGCCTGTGTGCCATGTAAGTCAGGCTTATGTTCACTGTCCTCCAGGAGTATGATGTAGTAGATCAGAAAACTGACCCCTCAATCTGTAGGTCCAGGTCTGGTCCTCAGTCCAGCATGTAGAAGATGTTGCTAAGGAAGGGTACTGCTCAGATGCTCAGAGAGGACGCTGCTCAGATGCTCAGAGAGGACCCTGCTCAGATGCTCAGAGAGGACGCTGCTCAGATGCTCAGAGAGGACGCTGCTCAGATGCTGAGAGAGGACACTGCTCAGATGCTCAGAGAGGACACTGCTCAGATGCTGAGAGAGGACACTGCTCAGATGCTCAGAGAAGACACTGCTCAGATGCTCAGAGAGGACGCTGCTCAGATGCTCAGAGAGGACGCTGCTCAGATGCTGAGAGAGGACGCTGCTCAGATGCTGAGAGAGGACGCTGCTCAGATGCTGAGAGAGGACGCTGCTCAGATGCTCAGAGAGGACACTGCTCAGATGCTGAGAGAGGACACTGCTCAGATGCTCAGAGAGGACGCTGCTCAGATGCTCAGAGAGGACCCTGCTCAGATGCTGAGAGAGGACACTGCTCAGATGCTGAGAGAGGACACTGCTCAGATGCTCAGAGAGGACACTGCTCAGATGCTCAGAGAAGACACTGCTCAGATGCTCAGAGAGGACGCTGCTCAGATGCTCAGAGAGGACACTGCTCAGATGCTCAGAGAGGACACTGCTCAGATGCTCAGAGAGGACGCTGCTCAGATGCTCAGAGAGGACGCTGCTCAGATGCTCAGAGAGGACGCTGCTCAGATGCTGAGAGAGGACACTGCTCAGATGCTCAGAGAAGACACTGCTCAGATGCTCAGAGAGGACGCTGCTCAGATGCTCAGAGAGGACACTGCTCAGATGCTCAGAGAGGACACTGCTCAGATGCTCAGAGAGGACGCTGCTCAGATGCTGAGAGAGGACGCTGCTCAGATGCTGAGAGAGGACGCTGCTCAGATGCTGAGAGAGGACACTGCTCAGATGCTCAGAGAGGACACTGCTCAGATGCTGAGAGAGGACACTGCTCAGATGCTGAGAGAGGACACTGCTCAGATGCTGAGAGAGGACGCTGCTCAGATGCTCAGAGAGGACACTGCTCAGATGCTCAGAGAGGACACTGCTCAGATGCTCAGATGCTCAGAGAGGACACTGTTCAGATGCTCAGAGGGGACACTGCTCAGATGCTCAGAGAGGACGCTGCTCAGATGCTCAGAGAGGACACTGCTCAGATGCTCAGAGAGGACGCTGCTCAGATGCTCAGAGAGAACACTGCTCAGATGCTCAGAGAGGACGCTGCTCACATGCTCAGAGAGGACACTGCTCAGATGTTCAGATGCTCAGAGAGGACGCTGCTCAGATGCTCAGAGAGGACACTGCTCAGATGTTCAGATGCTCAGAGAGGACACTGTTCAGATGCTCAGAGGGGACGCTGCCCAGATGCTGTTGTGGCAGTTTCTCCCACATGGCTGATGTGGTTGTACTTTCCATAGCACTGGGGTTGGAGGTGAGGAGAGAAGATGAAGTTATGTCTGGGCTTGGACTCAGCCTCCAGATAGGGGTTGGCATCGTTTCATAGGGTAGCGGGACTGGAGGGACAGGACTGGGAGAATGAGGTGAATCTGACACAAAGCAAGTTGTGCCTGCTGTCCTCTGGGTTAGCTATAGCGTCCAAACAGAGGTCTGGAACCTAGAAGTGTGGCCTCATTGGGCCTCCTGAGCAGGTGTAGAAGTCACAGAAGCAGGTGTGAGTGCAGAGCTTGGGTAAATGTGAAGATGGTGTTGGGGCGGAGTCCTGTCTACCATTCTGCCTGGCCCCAACAGGTACTGGAACTCCCTGAGGAACCTGGTGGTGTCCCTGCTCAACTCCATGAAGTCTATTGTCAGCCTGCTCTTCCTGCTCTTCCTCTTCATTGTGGTCTTCGCTCTGCTGGGGATGCAGCTGTTTGGGGGCCAGTGAGTGGTACAGGAGAGCAGGGAGCTGAGGGAGGCTGAGGGGAGCTCAGGGGGCTGAGGGGGGCTGAGGGGGAGCTGAGGGGGGCTAAGGGGAGCTCGGGGGCTGAGGGGGGATGAGGGGGGGCTAAGGGGAGCTCAGGGGGGCTGAGGGAGGCTGCGGGGGGCTGAGGGGGAGCTAAGGGGAGCTCAGGGGGGCTGAGGGGGCTATGGGGGGCTGAGGGGGAGCTGAGGGGGGCTAAGGGGAGCTCAGGGGGGCTGAGGGAGGCTGCGGGGGGCTGAGGGGGAGCTCAGGGGGGCTGAGGGGGCTATGGGGGCTGAGGGGGAGCTGAGGGGGGCTAAGGGGAGCTCAGGGGGGCTGAGGGGAGCTGAAGGGGGGCTGAGGGGAGCTGAGGGGGGCTAAGAGGGGCTGAAGGGGGCTAAGAGGGGCTGAGGGGCATTGAGGGGGCCTGAGGGGGGGGGGCTGAAGGGGGCTGAGGGGGCTGAGAGGGGCTGAGGGGGGCTGAGGGGGGCTGAGGGGAGCTCAGGGGGGCTGAGGGGGGCCGCGGGGGGAACTGAGGAGGGGCTGAGGGGAGCTCAGGGGGGGCTAAGAGGGGCTGAGGGGTATTGAAGGAGCCTGAGGGGGGGGCTGAAGGGGGCTGAGAGGAGCTGAAGGGGGCTGAGAGGGGCTGAGTGGGGCTGAGAGGGGCTGAGTGGGGTTGAGGGGGGCTGAGGGGAGCTCAGGGGGGCTAAGAGGGGCTGAGGGGCGTTGAGGGGGCCTGAGGGGTGGCTGAAGGGGGCTGAGAGGGGCTGAGTGGGGCTGAAGGGGGCTGAGAGGGGCTGAGTGGGGTTGAGGAGGGGCTGAGTGGGGCTGAGGGGGGCTGAGTGGGGTTGAGGAGGGGCTGAGGGGGGCTGAGGGGAGCTCAGGGGGGCTAAGAGGGGCTGAGGGGCGTTGAGGGGGCCTGAGGGGTGGCTGAAGGGGGCTGAGAGGGGCTGAGTGGGGCTGAAGGGGGCTGAGAGGGGCTGAGAAGGGCTGAGGGGGGCTGGGGGGGGTCAATGAGTAGTACAGGAGAGCGAGGACCTGAGGGGAGCTGAGGGGCAAGACAGAGCTTTACAGCTGGGGCTGCCCCCTGCCTCTTCCTCCTGCCTTCCTGAAGGTCCTTGAAAAGGGGGCTCTGAGATGCCAACCATGTTAGCTGGAATGGGCATACTGGTGCTGGGGTGGGTGGGGGCTGGAATGGGCATACTGGTGCTGGGGTGGGTGGGGGCTGGAATGGGCATATTGGGGGTGGGTGGGGGCTGGAATGGGCGTATTGGGGGTGGGTGGGGGCTGGAATGGGCGTATTGGGGGTGGGTGGGGGCTGGAATGGGCGTATTGGGGGTGGGTGGGGGCTGGAATGGGCGTATTGGGGGTGGGTGGGGGCTGGAATGGGCGTATTGGGGGTGGGTGGGGGCTGGAATGGGCGTATTGGGGGTGGGTGGGGGCTGGAATGGGCGTATTGGGGGTGGGTGGGTGCTGGAATGGGCGTATTGGGGGTGGGTGGGGGCTGGAATGGGCGTATTGGGGGTGGGTGGGGGCTGGAATGGGCGTATTGGGGTGGGTGGGGGCTGGAATGGGTGTATTGGGGGTGGGTGGGGGCTGGAATGGGCGTATTGGGGTAGGTGGGGGCTGGAATGGGTGTATTGGGGTAGGTGGGGGCTGGTTCCTTCCAGTGGGGCTGCTTATTCCCAAGACTTACTGTTTTTCTTAGGTTCAACTTTCACGATGAGACTCCAACAACCAACTTTGACACCTTTCCAGCTGCCATCCTCACTGTCTTCCAGGTGAGCCTTCCTGTTCTCTGCCCAACTCCGGAGAAGACCTCCCTGCCAACTCCTTAGCCCTCAGCACACGCAGACGCCAAGCATTCAGACATACAGAATGGAGCACAAACCTAGACAGGGGAAGGCTGTGCTCTGACGGTCGCATAGGGCAAGTTCAGAGCAAGCTCACCAGAGACACAAGTGTCTGTCTGTCAGCCTAGGTTCTAGGCCGCCAATCTATCACTTCTCTTTTATCCACTGACAGCAAAACCACAAAGCTCTCCCTAAGTTTCCCTCAGTAGTATCCCAGGCCCCTGTGTGCCCTTTTTCTCTTTTGAAATACATGCCCACCACGGCTTCATAGGGAGCTGCCTTTTCTCGGACAGTTTCCTTTTGGGGATCTTGGCTGGGCACTTTGTGCTTTTACAGGGCTGTGCTGCCAGGGCTAGCCTGACCGATCAGGTAATGCTTTGCATTTCTGCTTCATGAAACACCTTGTCTGAGGCTGAGGGCCAAGGGGTAGGAAAGGCCTTTGTGCTCTCTTCTCTCGAAGGGAGGGACTTGTTCAGCCAGAAGTCCAAACTGAACTGGATGAATGGCCGGGAGAATAGTTCAGCCCCAACGATGTGCACACATGCGCTAGTGAGTGTCGCCTTCCCTTGCCTTTCCCCTGTCCCCCCTGGTAGAGTCTCTGTGGTCATCAGCTCTGTCTCTGCAGGCAGGCTCTGCTCTTCCTATCTACATGGTCTAGGCTTATGGCTTGTTTCTCTTGGCCTCAACCTTTGGAGCATCTGCCTTTTTTTTTCCTGCCTCAGACTCCAGTCAGCCCACCACATTCCCCCTTTTTCCCATTGGTGCAGAGAAAGCTCTGTTGATCATCAGGTTGGTGGCTTGCAGAATTCAAGCCTTTAGTGGGCGATAGGACCTCTGGAGACATATGGACACGTTCCATCCCAAGACCTGGCAGAGAGTGTTTTACCTGCCTGAGGAGCGGGTCTGAGCAGGTCTTTGTGACGGGGAGGGTTCTGTGGCCTGCAGGGCCAGGGAAGGGAAATTGGTAGGAACATGTTCTGGGCCCTGACACATGCATGGTGATGAAAGTTGGGGTCTAGGGATTGGGCCAGGTTGGAAGGCCCGGTAAGTGGACCCGTGGTTCTAGAGGGAGTTGATGGGCTGCTCATTAGACTGTTTTCTGTATATGTTACCAGGAAGGGCTTGAGCATTGTGAGGAGGCCACAGGATAAAGTCTGACTAGATTTTCTATACCCTCCACTGTGAACACAGCAACAGGATAATAGTAACTCAGCATGCTGAGCAGAGTCTCTGGCAACCGGAAATGGAACAGACCCACACAGTAGGTGACAGAAGAGGCTTGGGCACTGGGGCACAACCTGAAAAGAGGCTGGTTGTCCACATTCCGTGGCCTCAGAGGCATGCATACACAGATCTGCTGCTCTGAGCTCTGGGGAAGGCACTGAGCCCTTGAATTGAGGGTGAGGAGAGAGGGAGGAGACTGGAAAGGCAGCTGGTGCAGGACCAGTCCCAATGTTGGTCAGGCCTTGGAGTGGACTGACTGCTGAAAGTACTGCTAGTCCTCTTGCATAGAAAAATGATGATTGAAAGCCGGGCGCTGGTGGCTCACTCCTGTAATCCTAGCTACTCAGGAGGCTGAGATCTGAGGATCCCGGTTCAAAGCCAGCCCGGGTAGGAGAGACCGTGAAACTCCTATCTCCAATAAACCACCAGAAAACCAGAAGTGGCACTATAGCTCAAGTGGTAGAGCCCTCATCTTGAGCTGAAGAGCTGAGGGACAGCACCCAGGCCCAGAGTTCAAGCCCCACGGCCGACAAAAAAAAAAAGAAAAGAAAAATGATGATTGAGAAGAAAATCTACATTGACTGGAGAAGAAATAGAGACCTGGGCTACGTAGGAGGCTGAAGATTGAAAACAAAATAAAAAACAAAAACCCCACATAATAAAACTCAAGTGCAGACAATTTATAAGTAAATTCTCTATTACTTATTTCCTGGCAACACTGGAGTTTGAACTGAGCACCTGAACTTGTTCTGCTTGCTTGCCCAGCTAGTGTTTTACTTATTGAATCACATCCCCAGCCCATAGGTCCTGCATTTTTTGCCTGAGGTTGGCCTTGGAAGGCTGTCCTCCCACTCTGCCCTCTATAGCTAGGATTGCAGGCAGGTGTCATCAGTGTCCATCTTGTTTGTCAAGGTAAGGTCTCACTAACTTTTGCTTATACTGGCCTCAAACACCTTTTACTTTCTATGTAGCTGAGACTTCAGGCATGAGCCACCATGCTTGGCCTCTTCTAAGTGTTTAAGAAGTTATTCCAGGGAGGGAAAAACGGGGAGAGAATGAGGGAAGGGGTGATATTACCCTAAAAGAAATGTATTCATGGGGGCTGGGAAAGTGGCTCAGTGGTAGAGCGCTTGCCTTGCATGCCTGAGGCCCTGGGTTCGATTCCTCAGCACCACATAAGCAAAAAGAAAAAAGCTGGAAGTGGCGCTGTGGCTCAAGTGGTAGAGCGCTAGCCTAGAGCTGAAGAGCTGAGGGACAGCGCCCAGGCCCAGAGCTCAGGTCCCACGACCGGACTCCTCCCCCCCCCCCAAAAAAAAAAAAAAGAAATGTACTCTTTACCTGACTTATGAAACTGTAACCCCTTTGTACCTCACCTTTATAATAACAATAAAAATAAAGTTATTCCAATTTTACATAGACAACTTCAGAGAGTATAAAGGGAGAGATCCCTACTTGTTTTTATAAACTAAACAGTGACCAAAAGAAAGCTGATATAGTAATACTAATATCAATCCAAACAGAATAATCAGGAGAGAATAATCACAATTATAAAGAACACGATATTAGAAAGGGTATAAAAGAGTTTATGAACACTGAACATGAACCAACTGATATAGAAGTCACATTCAGAAAGTAGTGAATAGAATATTCATTATCTGGGGGTGTATAGAACATTTAATGTTTGTTATATCATGCAGGAAATTCTTCCAAATAGTGAATAATTGTTCTCCTTTAGAGACATGCTTGGCCTATTTAATTAAATTGACAATTAAGAAAACCCCTATTCTTCCCATTGTAAGTGGAAGAATTATGGTATACAGGAAATCACAACAGAAACTTGGTACTACCTGAAAGGTAGTATCAAAGCTTTTGGGGTAGAGTTGAGGCAATACTTAAAGCTAAGTTTATATATTTTTTTATTTTTATTTTTTGGTCAGTCACGGTGCTTGCACTCAGGGTGTGGGCTTTGTCCTTGACCTTTTTTGCTCAAGGCTAGTGTTCTACCACTTTGAGTCAAGTGCCACTTCCAGTTTTTAGTGGTTAATTGGAGATAAAAGTCTCACATAGCCGGGTGCCAGTAGCTGACGCCTGTAATCCTAGCTACTCAGGAGGCTGAGATCTGAGGATCGCGGTTCAAAGCCAGCCCAGGCAGGAAAGTCTGTGAGACTTTTATCTCCAATAAACCATTAGAAAACCAGAAGTGGTGCTGTGGCTCAAGCGGTAGAGCATTTGTCTTGAGCTGAAGAGGGCAGGGACAGCACTCAAGCCCAGAGTTCAAGCCCCACGACTGACCAAAAAAAAAAAAAAGTGTCATGGACTTTCCTGCCCTGGCTAGCTTCGAACTGTGATCCTCAGATCTCAGCATCCCCAGTAGCTAGGATTACAGGCATGAGCCACTGGTGCCCTGCAGTTTATAATCTTAAATGCAATTTTAAGAATAAAAGCTAAAAATAACAAGTTATATATTCTAACCTATAGGAAATCTTAGAACAAGTTTTTTTCTTCAGTTATTTTTTTTTTTAGTCAGATACCTATGTTTTTATGGCATCAATTTGAAAACTTAGATGAAGCTTGCATTTTTACAGGAAAACATAATTTTTAAATTAGCTTAAGAAGAAAAATGATGTTTTATAGCCTTTAAGAAGTTGAATGAATAGTCAGAATTTTCTTCTTTTCTTCCTTCTTCTGATGCTTATAGATAGGGTTTATCTAGCTTTGAAGGTGTAGAAGTTCATGTGCAAGAACAGCCAAGACAACTCAGAAAGTGTTTGCTCTACCAAGTATCACTATTTCTAAGTAGGCTGCAGTCATAATGATAATGTGGTATACATAAAGACAAGTGTCAAAACACAGACTGAAGTGACCAGAAGTGCTCAGACACCGAGAGCAGTTGGTTATATGAGAAGGACAACATTATAACCAATGAAGGAAGGGTGAAGGACTCAAAAATGCACATCTGGGAAAAGTGGGTTTTCTATGGAAACCCATAAATCCCCATAAATAACACACAGAACTCCTCTGGCTTCGAAACCTAGGTGTGAAAGAAATTGTACTTGAAAGCTCTTCAAGGAAAATAACTTCATGATATTGGGGTAGAATTGAATTTGTTGAAGTACGGGAAGGCAGAAACTATAAAGGAAGAGAATGATGCACTTGACTGCATTAGGCTTCTTTACAATGCCAATAATAAAGGGAGGTATTTTCAATAGTGCCGAGTGTGCAAGGAGATCTCATAGGCCAGTAGGAAAGAAGATGTGCCAATAGAAACGTGCACCAAGGACAGAAAGAAAGGGTAGGGAGAGAGCTCACACCTTATCAGACCAGGAACTGAAGATGTTATCGTGTATTAACAAAATAAACTGAAGCTATGGTACTGAGTGAAAACAAGGCGAGGAATGATGTGTGTTCTGATGCCTTCCTGTGCATGTCTAGCACACATACTAAATTCTGTTTGTACATGTTTAGTGGAGCTGAGCACAGTACTTCACACCTATAATTTTAGTGACTCAGGAGGCTGAGATTTGAAGATAACAGTTCAAAGCCAGCCTGGGTAGGAAAGTCTTTGAGACTTATCTCCAGTTAACGAATAGAAAGCCAGAAATGGAGATTTGGCTCAAGTGGTAGAGTACCAGCTTCGAGCAAAAAAGCCATGTGAGAACATGAGGCCCTGAGATCAAGTCCTAATCCTATCATTAAAAAAAAATCCCCAAACCACCCCCCTCCCCAACAACAACAACAACAACAAAAGAAATAGCAGCCACAAAACCCAGATGGATTGCATAACCAGTAAAAACTTGGGTCCATCATTGGGCTTGCTTGTAGGGTTTGGCTGTGGCAGTTGGTGAAAATGTTAGCAGGTTCCATTTTAGGTAGTGGACACGATGAGTGTTATTTTATCCTCTTGTACTTAAACAGTCGGGAGATACAGCTTTACTGATGGATGAGGACTGGATTTGACCTAGCTGCGAGGGTGGACTTACTTGGCTAAGGTGGCAGGAAGCTGGGTATTGGAAGGTCCAACTTCTCTGCTGTGGTCTGGAGCTGCTGGTTCCCTTTTCTGACTCTTGGTTTCCTCAGTGTGGAAACTGTTACAATCAGCTCAGACCTTGGAGATGCTCTGCCACAGCCAGGTTCAGATGCCTGTGCCCACCATCTTTCTGGCCAGTTCTCAGTTCTCCTTTTAGAACTCCTTTTTTGGTTTTGCTGAAAACCTAGAACATGTTTGTCATTTATAACCTGACTCAGGTTATAGTCATGAGGTGTGTGTGTGTGTGTGTGTGCTAATGTGGATGTGTCCTGGTACACCCCAGTGAATGTGTGTGTATGTGGTGCCTTCGGGCACGATGCAGCTATGCCCTGTTCTGTTCTCTCCTCCCACAGATCCTGACTGGAGAGGACTGGAATGCGGTGATGTATCATGGGATCGAGTCGCAAGGTGGAGTCAGCAAAGGCATGTTCTCCTCCTTTTACTTCATTGTTCTGACACTGTTTGGAAACTGTATCCTTTTTGGATCTGAGTGTATGCCATGCTTTTTCACAGCCTCCTCTAGGAAGATAATGTCAGTTGTACCTTGTCCCAGCTGTCCTTGAGGTATTTTGGGCACCAGGTCTGGCAGTGCTGTTTGTGGGTATATCTAGAAGTAGAGTTGGACGGGCCAAATTGGTTCTAGGATCTAAGAAGTCTTGGGGACCTTGCAGGAATGTGGGCGCTTACGCAGGGCAGCAGGTTTTCCGTGTGTGTGTGTGTGTGTGTGTGTGTGTGTGTGTGTGTGTGTGTGTGTGTGTGTGTGTACATACATCAATCCTGGGTCTTGAACTTGGGGCCTGGGCACTGTTGAGTGTTTTTGCTCAAGGCTAGCACTTTACCACTTGAGCCACTTCCAGTGCTTTTTTTTTTTTTTTTTTCTGGTTAATTTGATGTAAGAATCTCATAAACTTTTCTGCCTGGGCTGGCTTTGAACCACAATCTGCAGACCTCAGCTTCCTGAATAGCTAGGATTACAGGTATAAGCCAATGGCTCCTGGCAGGTTTTCATTTTTATTAGATTGAACTGAGTAAGTTTCAGTACTGAGTACTGAAAAAAATTTCTCCCCTGCTGAAAATAAAGCTCTGAAAGAGCTGCAGAACAAAGCTCTTGCAGAGGATGGCCAGTGGCAGAAGCAGGCATATCCACAGGGCTCTGGAGGGTGGGTCTGAGAGGCCTGGGTAGGCCTCGAAGCCTATAGGCAGGACCCCAGGGGAGTTGTCATGGAAAGATGATTGGAGCCAAGTAGAGCTTAGAAGGGAGAATCGTGGGGCCTGACCGTTATGAGGGCCAACAGTCTGACTTTTTGTGGTTGTGGCTTCTTTTATATTTTTAATAGGAGCCTGGGCCCAGTCTCTGAGCTGTTTGTACAAGGTTAGCATTCTACAACTTTAGGTCACAACTCCACTTCTGGTTTCTGGGGGTCAATTAGAGATTATAGTCTCACTGACTTTCCTGCCCTGGCTGGCTTTCAACCACCAATCCTCAGATCTCAGCTTCCTGAACAGTTAGGATTACAGGTGTGAGCCACTTGTGCCTGGCTGGCTTCCCCCTTTCTAAAGCAGTACAGAGATCACTGGGATCAGGAAAGGGTGCAGGACTGGACACTGAGACCACTGTGTATATCCTGCTCACACCTGTTCCCCGGGGACACTGAGACCACTGTGCATACCCTGCTCACACCTCAGGACATGTTCAGGACACCGTGAGGAAGGGGTGCTCAGGAGTTTGTGATGGGACAAGAAGTGAAAGGAAAGGAGCAGGAAAGATATGGAGGTGTCTGTGAGCCTAGCCTTGGAGCTGTGGCCTGGGTGATGGCTGGATTTGTGTGTTTGTCTCCAGCTTTGTTAGGCTCTGTTCACCAGCTCTAGAAGGTGGTGGATCTCATCTGGGGCCTATGAAAGCAAAAGATGTTTGTTTCAAGGCTTCTTGTGCTGGCCATAGCATGGGAGAGATTGGGGTGGAGATCAGTGCCCTCTTTAGGAGGCAACAAATGGACCCAAGGGTCTACATGTTCATTAGGCGAGGTTGGGCTGCGACAGAACTGATTGATTAGACTGAGGGACTGTTGAGGACAGAGACCACCAAGCCCCTGCGTGGCTGGGGTATACCTGGGCCTACAGTGGTGCCTAGGAAGGGCAGGAGAGTGAAAACTAATCTAGGGAGATGGGGCCTCTGTCTCCCATGGGCAGCTTTGTATGACAGTGTGGAACAGTTAGGACCCTTTCCTTAGCTGGAACCGACCAGACACCCTGCTAAACGTCTTTCTGGCCATCGCTGTGGACAACCTAGCTAACGCTCAGGAGTTAACCAAGGTAGGTAAGAATATCACTTAAGCCTGGGTACCAGGAAGGATGAGGGGACAGTCCAGGTCACGCTAAATGAAGTTGCAGGGTCGTAGAGAAGGCCAGCTCCTGGGTTATGATCCATATGAACACTGTCCAGGGCTGTCTCCTCAAAGTCCTGAGCAAGCAGAGGTTAATCTGGGCTCAGGATATAGGGGGGTTGTATCTGCAGAAGCCCACAAGGTGTGGCCACGTCTGTAGACCCACATGTGGATGAGGCTCCCAGGGAGGTTTTGGCTGGACAGCAGGGTGGGGTGTGGGAAGCAGCACGTGCTGGCACTACTAGAGAGAGCGCAGACCAGGTAGAGCTCCCCCAGCAACAGAGGCAAGGGGCTCCACGGTACGCCGGTCACCGTAGGCACGTGATGCGTGCAGGGTCCCCACACAGACAAGAGGATGCCTGAGTTGAGCCCTGGAGTTGTGCTACTCTGAAAGGACAGTGGGAAGGGATGCTGTGCTGTGCTGTGCTCAGGTGCAAGGCTTGCTGGAGCCTGAGGAGCAGCCTGTGTCCCCGCCTCCACACACCCGCGCCACAGCAGGACAGCGACTTCTAGCAGAACATGGCAGGGACCATTTAGTATTTATCTTTCACTCCTGAGCGCAGTGGGAGGTTCAGTTATACACATCTCCCTCTGTGGTTTCCCTCCAGGGGACACAGCTCCCCACCCGGCCACTCTCATCTGAGCCCTGGGAGGCTGCACTGTCATGGCACCCCCAGGCTTGCGCTGTGACCCGAGCCCTGGCTCTAGCGTGGAGAGTGCTGCCACCTGGCAGTGGATGTGCTGCGCTACACTGTGCGCGTCCTCTGCACTTCGGCACTAAACGCCCGAGTGCTGTCCTGCTGCTGTCTCTGTCGCGTGTGTCTTTGTTTCCTTCTGTGTCTGTGTACTTCATGAAGCAATGGATCCTGGGCCCCAGAGCACAACTTGCTAGTTTTGCTTAGTGATCTGGGGCTGCTTGGGTCTGTCTTTATATCTGTTCCTTTTCCTGGATAGGTGTCTACACGTACACACATGAATTGTGTGTGTGTGTGTGTGTGTGTGTGTGTGTGTTTATACACACACATATCTCATCCTGTTGGCAGACAGCCATGTGGAACTTCACAGCTGCTGCTGGGCATGGGTGGGTGGTTGCCCTCTGGTGGGGTCCTGCAGAAGAGCTTGAAGGCAGCATATGATCCCACTGGGAAACGCCTGGTGGCATATCTGGGTCCTCCTGGGTCAGTACAGCAATAGGGTGCAGTGGTCCCCTCCTGCACAAAGTACTCCAAGAGAGCTGAGGGGTGGGAGGAGATACAGATTTGCTTTTTTTTTTTTTTTTTTGGGTCCAGTCGTGGGTGGGGCCTGAACTCTGGGCCTCAGCGCTGTCTCTCAGCTCTTCAGCTCAAGGCTAGCGCTCTACCACTTGAGCCACAGCGCCACTTCCAGCTTTTTTCTTTTTTGCTTATGTGGTGCTGAGGAATTGAACCCAGGGCCTCATGCATGCAAGGCAAGCGCTCTATCACCGAGACACCTTCCTAGCCCCACAGATTTGCTTTTGAGTAAATGCGAAGTACATAATATAAAGAGACAGAAATGTCCAGGCATCCAGTTTGCATTGGGCTGGCTCTCAGTAATACAATCAGTATACAGACACAGGCACATGTTTGAGAGTACTGAAACATGACATTTGGGGACTGTCACCTTTGTGTCACAGACATGGAAGTCAAGTCACTGAAGGGAGCCAGAGAGCTAGTGTGATGGGCCCCAGTTGGCCATGTCCCCCAGGGATTGGCTTCCCTGCCCCACAGTGCAAGGGCAGGAGGGGCAGAGGCTTTAGGAAGAAGAGCTAAGAGTGACTGCAGCACCCTGTGGTGACAGATGCTTCTGTTGTTCAAACAGGATGAAGAAGAGATGGAGGAAGCTGCCAATCAGAAGCTTGCTCTACAGAAGGCCAAAGAAGTGGCTGAAGTCAGTCCCATGTCTGCTGCCAACATTTCCATTGCCGCGTAAGGCCCTGGGGCAGAGCCTGAGGGTGGCATGGGCAGCAGCAGGGTCTCTGGCTGGCTATACCAGGGCCCTCCAGAGGCCTCCTCAGAGCACCTTTGTCTCGGCCAGGGCTTTTTGATGAAATAGACTTCCTCTGGAACTGTGTCAAGAGGAGCTGGAGAGAAAGGTTCATCCAGACAGGATCTGTAGCTTTCTCCCACCTGTGTGTGGGCAGGGGATGCCAAGCGCAGCTCCATATTGGATGAGATTGGCTGGGTCATCGTACTGGTCCCCGGATGGTCACAGGACAGCTCCAGAGCCCCTCTCCAGGTGAAACCCAGGAGTCATTTGTGAGCAGTCAGCACACTGGTTTTATATACAGCTTCAAAACCACGTCCTGTGAACCAAAACATCTTCTGGATGGCACCTTAGCCACCCAGAAAACTTCCTATTTCTTCCAGAAACATCTTTTCAAGTGATGAGCAAGGAAGGGTAGGTTTAGGGCAGCCCTCCCATCCAGCTGGGCCTCGGGCACAGTGTTGAAGCTTGTGTGTATGGTAAAGGACATTGAGAGATGTTAGCTCTGAACAGTTTAGTACATGGCTTGGTCAGTGGGCACTGTGAGAGCAGAAGTGTACCTTGGGCTGCCGGCTTTGTAGCCTCATGCCTGTGCTAACGTATGTTTTACCCAAGCTGCTGCTACAGGCTCTGCAGCTGATGGTGCCAGGCACAGCCAGAGGTTCACAAGGCTGGCATATGCTGTCTCTGCTAAGTGTGTGCCTTGGCACATGGATGTGTGTGTGAGGCATGCATGAGTTGATGGGTTGTGTGCATGGCACATAAGTGTGTGTGTGGTGTATGTAGTGGCCTTGTTTCTGCTTGGAGATATCCAGAGAGATGGCATTTGCAGAGGATCTAAACCAAGCAGAAAGTGTTGGCCTGGGAAGAATCAGCTGGAAGAGGTTGCAGCCCTGGGGAGGAGCCAGGCGGGCCAGGGATGTGGCAGCCTCAGCTGCTGCTGGAGGCTCAGCCCTCAATCCTGTTGTTCCGTTGTCTGGCAGTTGGTCAATTTACTTCAGTAGCTTGGTCCTGAGGTTGCTGTGACCTGGCAGATGCCCCTCTCCTATTCCTCTCATAAGCTCTGAAAACTTGTGTTAGTCTCTTGCAGAGAAGGTTGTAGGTGAGCATTTGGCTTGTTCTGCCTCACATGGAGCTGCAGTTTCTCTTTAGCACTTGGCTTTTCTGCTGTTCCAGGAGACGAGCTTTTTCCCTTGGCCTTTGTTGCCTCCAGGACTGCCACTCCTGAAGATGTGCAGGAGTGTATCCACTCCATTTGAGCCGAGGCCTCAGACAAGAGGATGTTAGGTTCTTTGGCACAGCCCAAGAGACTGTGAGACCACTGAAAAATGAGGTCCAGGCACTACAACCCCACTGCCATGGTCCTGTAGCACTGCGGTCCTGTGTGGAGACATTGTTGCAGGTGGAGGAGCCTCGGGCACCATGGTACTTGGCACTGGATGCTAACCTGAGCACTAGGGTGGTTTCTAGGTGGGGAACGTGCTTGTTTTCTCCTATAGATGTTCTACTGCATACAGGTCCACTCTAGAGCCACTGTCATAGTTGTTACACTCAGGAAGGGCAGTGGCCTACGTTAGCCGTTTGCTGTCACGTGAGTAGTGCCAGTGCCCTCTCTGATCGGTGAGGGCCATGCAGGCTCTGCCCGTGGGGTGCAGCTGTGGGTCTCTGTTCTATGTAATATACTTGGTATTGGTGTGGTTTGCCCACGGAGCCACCCTCCTAGGAGGAAGGGAGGACCCCCACATGGGGTGACACTTGTCCCCATGTGCCTGGTGTGATGTCAGGCCACTGCTCCGTCTGCTTGTTGTGGTTGTGCTGAGACCTTTGAGGGCTGACAGCTGTCTAGATGTTCATTTCTGTGGCCTGTGTTACGGGCTGAGGAGAACACTGCCTCCCACCCTAGAGCCCTGGCCCTGGTCCCCATAGCTGTGCCACCATGGCACCGTGGAAGCTCTCCCAGGATGTAGTGCAAGACCTCAAATGCTGAGCAGACCCTCGTCGTCCATGATGTTCGAGGCTCTTGGTGCTCTGGACAGCATAATGGTGTTGGCACTCTACCCACCCCAGCCGTTCCTTCAGGGTTTGGGAGTGGAAACACTAAGCCCAGTGCCATCTTCCTACTTCTGTCTGTTGTGGCATTCTTATCCTCACCCTGGCTTTTGAATGCCAGCACAAAATCATACACAATCTAATACTATCTCACACAGCCACGGTCTCATTCTTTTTTTGTTTTTATTTTTGTTTTTGTTTTTTTGTTGGTCGTGAGGCTTGAACTCTGGGCCTAGACGCTGTCCCTACACTCTTCAGCTCAAGGCGAGCACTCTACCACTTGAGCCACAGCACCACTTCAGTTTTCTAGTGGTTTATTGGAGATAAGAGTCTCACAGACTTTCCTGCCTGGGATGGCTTTGAACTGGGATCCTCAGTTCTCAGTCTCCTGAGTAGCTAGGATTACAGGTGTGAGCCACTGGCACTCGGCCAGTCTCATTCTTACTTAAATCTTTTCTTTTCTTTTGCTGGTCCTGGGGCTTGAAGTCAGGGCTGGGGTGCTGACCCTGAACCTATTTGTGCTCAAGATGAGCACTCTTACCACTTGAGCCACAGCACCACTTTTGGCATTTTTCTGAGTAGTTTATTGGAAATAAGAGTTTCATGGACTTTCCTGCCTGGACTGGCTCTGAACTGCGATCCTCAGATCTCAGCCTCCTGAGGAACTAGGATTAGAGGCGTGAGACATCAGCATCCAGCTCTCAGCCAAATCTTACATAAACACACTCTTATGCTTGCAATCTCACACAATCTTACGCTCACTTCCAACCTCATATCCTTAATCCATACTCACTCATTCTCACACTCACAATCTCACATTCCTTTCCAGAGTTACAGTTTTACACTCAGTCTCTCACACATACCCATACATTCACATGCATTCACAATCTTGCACACAGCATTTCATGCATCCTTATATACATCCACAGAAAGTCACACCCATACATTCATATATAACCTCACTGCTCACCACCAGACACAATCTCACAGTCACATCTACATACCACAGACAGTCACACCCATACATTCATATATAACCTCACTGCTCACCACCAGACACAATCTCACAGTCACATCTACATACCACAGACAGTCACACCCATACATTCATATATAACCTCACTGCTCACCACCAGACACAATCTCACAGTCACATCTACATACCACAGACAGTCACACCCATACATTCATATATAACCTCACTGCTCACCACCAGACACAATCTCACAGTCACATCTACATACCACAGACAGTCACACCCATACATTCATATATAACCTCACTGCTCACCACCAGACACAATCTCACAGTCACATCTACATACCACAGACAGTCACACCCATACATTCATATATAACCTCACTGCTCACCACCAGACACAATCTCACAGTCACATCTACATACCACAGACAGTCACACCCATACATTCATATATAACCTCACTGCTCACCACCAGACACAATCTCACAGTCACATCTACATACCACAGTTGTGTGCTCACCTGTGATCTCACATATTCACATACTCTTACACTCAGTCACAGTCTCTCAGAGATTCTGTTAAATACACTCACAGCCATATATAACACATCACATGTTAACACACACTCATCTGACATCACCCACATTCTCACACATATCTGTGTATAGTGGGGCTTATGGGACTCTGAGCTGCTCTGAACTCTTTACAGTTGTGCAGAGACCCCCTCAGCTTTGTGAAGAGGGCACTGGAAACCACTTGGCTCTCCTCGTGAAACCAATATGAAAAGAAAATGGCTGTAAAGAGTTTTGGCTTTTCTTGGTTGGGCTGGAAAAGGTTGCTGTGCAGTCACTTGGGAATGTCTGAGGTTCACCCAGAGGGAAGGTGGAATCAAATTTGCTCTTGAAGGATGTGCCAGAAGTAGTGGGACTTGAGCCTGGGAGCTGGGGTCAGGTGCTCACAGGGAGGACAGGTGGGGTAGGTGGCAGGACACTGGCCAGCACTGTAGGTAAGGGCACTGTTGTTTCCTGTACTTGTTGTGTGCATTCTGAGGCCAGGGACCAAAGTCCAGCCTGCCCAGGGATTGGGGGTGGGGGTGGGGGGCTGTTGGAATTGCAGAAAATCTAGCTTAGGGTCTTCCCAATTCTGCTCCCTCTCTAAGCAGTGTGACCTGAGCTGAGACTATGGATGGCACCTGAGAGAATTGTCTCATTTTCCAGCCAGTGTGGAGTGGGATTCACTCACTTTTCTATGCATAAGGAACTGGTTCTTACCTTATCTTTTGCCCCAGAGTCTTGGCCAGTGCCGATCTGACAGATGTGCACTGCAGCCTATGCCCACACTGACATGGTGCCTGAGTGTCACTAATGTCTCTTAGAAGTCCCCCTCTGGTTTTCTCACTCTTATTTATGTTTTGTTTCTTGCATGTGCAGTTTTGTAAAGCAAACTCGAGGTACTGTATCTCGCAGCTCATCTGTCTCCAGCGTAAACTCACCGTGAGTCACTCTGCTATGATTTCCATCCGTGGCTCCATAATGGCTATATGCACACACCTCCCCTCCACTCCTAACTGCTCTCCCACCTGAGTCATTCGCTTCATGGGTGGCCCCAGGCCTCTCTGGCCTTGGCTGGGGATGGTGGGCACACCAAAGCCTGCTCACAGGCCCAGCTCTTTCTGAGCTCAGCATTCCGCCTCCCTATCCTGGTCTCTGTCCACTTGCCTGCTCTGTTATGTGAAGTCATTCGTGTGTCAGATGCATCTGCTTCTCTGGGTGGGCAGGGTGCTCTGGGCTCAGGCCTCCTGTGGTTCCTGTGCAGCCAGGGCCTTGTGGATGGGGAAGGCAGAGAGAGTTCTCAGGAGACATTCAGGGGTTCTTCCTAGCCTCTTTTACTTGAGAGGAACATGTCCATGGTTTTCCTAGCATGAGCAGAGCTGCTAGAACTTGTGGTACATAAGCCAGGAGGGTCATGGTCTCCCCTGAGCACCTCCTTCTGGAGATGTGCTTTGGGGTGGCTTGTCCCCAGGAATCTTCCCTGGAGGATGGGTATGGTCACTGAGGCGGTCAAGTGCAGTGGAGCCCTCTGGTGGCATAGCTAGATGTCCCTTTCTGTTGTCCTTGCCTGCCTCATGCACCTCCTCAGCAGGAGCACAGAGCTAGCTCAGTCTTCCCGCCAGCACTGGCTGCTGCTGCTAGCTCACATGGTGAGAACGCATGTTGGGTCCTGACCACCTCACCCACATGGTAGAGATGAGGCATGGATGCCAGTGTGGGTTGGTGCACATCAGCGCTGCTTCTACACTGTTAGCCATAGTTGGCTGGCTGGCTCCATGCAGAGAACTCACAGCATGACCACAGACCTTTGAGATTTTCTGAGCCCTGTAGTTGTCCATAAGGCTTGAGTCACCCGGGTGAGATGTTCTGTCTCACGTGGCTAGGTTTGCACCTATACACTGGGGCCTGGACATCATGGGGGCAGCGCCTGTACGTGCCTCTTTAAGGACGTTGAGTAGAATTACAAGGCCTTGTGATGTAGGTCAGAGTAGCTTGTCTGTCATTCTCAGCTCTTGAATTGCTCAGAGGACAGGGGTGGAGTAAGAAGCCTGTGCTGGTAACACTGGGCAGAGGTCAGTGGGGTTTGTGTGCCAGAGAGAGCAAGACACAAGACCGGGGCAAGAAGAGGGTGCCTGAGATTCCCACAGGGAGGAGAAGCAGTTGCATGTGTTTACATCTAACCACGGAGTGCAGTGGTCCTTGCTGGGTTATGGGTAGATACTCACATGGTAGCTGATGATAGACATGATATCTGATGATATCAAGGCCCAGAGTGGCAGACAGACTCAGACTCCGAGCTATGGGCATGGGGGAGGAGTCACAGTGACTGACGTCAGTGGGCAGGCAGCCCTGGCACAGCTGTATCTTGCTCTGTGTGATAGTCATGAGAAGACCCTGCTAGCTCTATGGGGCTCTTAGCCCCATGGGCAAGCTGGCCTCTTCTGTACTCAAGGTGGTTCCTGGGGCAGAGAGCCTCATCTGGGGCAAAGCTCTGCCAGAAACTGCAGTATAGACCCATTCTGGCTGGTGTCTCAGGGCCTGAACTTCCAGCCACCACTACACACACATCCATTGTCTGTACTGCCCACTTTCCCAACAAAAAACTCTAATTCTGGCCCCAGGCAATGGCTTCATCTGAATGAACCACCTCCCTTTTCAGAGGCTTCTGGATGCGAGGCCAGAGATTGACCAGCTACCAGCCCTCCCAGGGCTCCTGTGCCTGGTGGCTTTCTTGCATTGCACTCATCCAGTGTTGTTGAAAGATGGGTCCAGACAGAAGTGGCGTGACCCTGTGGTCTGTTGGAGGGTACCCTGGGGAGTGCACCCTTGAGGCACAGTTTTGCTGCTTCAGGTGATAGGTGGTGACTGAGGTTGTGAAGCAGCAAATGCTCCTGGGTCACCCTGTCAACCCTTCCTGACCTCCCAAGTGAGGTGCAGGCTCTGTGCTCTTTTGCCTTCAGACTTGCAAGGTGATGTCCACTGGACCCAAACAGGATTTGCTGTCCACTTGTCTTGGACAGGCTACTTGAAAGAACTGGGTTGACCTTGTCCTTATAGGTGGTTGGCCTGGGCCTCTACAGATGCTTCTGGCCACCTGCTTTAGGGCAGATGGGGTCTGGTCAAGGTTGGTGTCTTTTTCAGGCACTTCTTCTCTTCTTCCCTGCATGCCTGTGATCCTGATTCCATTAGTGACTTATTGCAGACCCTAAACAAGTTGTCTTCTTTGTAGACCCAGCAGCATCTGCTGTGAGATGTCTTAGAGGTGGTTATAAGGGCTGGATTCAGGAGGCATGGATGGAGCCCAGAGTGCTGATGCTACTCCAAAGTTGTCCTGAAGGACAAGATTTTCCAGAGACTGGAGACAAGGGTCTAGCTGCACATGATATGGGACTTGGAGCACTTTGGTGGTCTCACTCAGCAAAGAGCCCAGAATGCAAGGGGTACCCTGAGCTGTTGGGAGGAGGGACAGGAGATGCCTGAACTAGCGAGGCTGTAGGGGAGACCCAAGCTTTCTGTAGCCTTTCAGTGCAGTCTGAGGTAGACCGCTGGCCACTCTGGGTACTGGAGTCCCAAGGGCCATGTCTCATTGTGCTACCGGTCCCACAGAGCCACGGGGAGGAAAGTACTGGTGGCCCAGGAAGACATGACTTCTGGGCTCCTGCTCACTGAACCCAGCAGCAAGCTTTCCAGTCAGGGCCAGACCACCTCTGGGAGTGGCTGAAGCTGTCTTTGCTCCCAGAGGGCCAGATGCTCATGTGGCTCCGTGTGTCCACACCTGCCTCTTCCTGGGCCTGCTTCTGGCTAGTAGCTTTCTTTCCTGGAGATGCCACAGGGAAACAGCTCTGCAGAAGTAGGCACCTCTGGGCGCTTGTCCGGCCTCTCCTGGGTCATGTCTGCTCTAGTGCTAAAACAAGGGCCCCCTCCCAGGGAGCCTCCTGGGCCCCCCTCCACGGGGTCCGTACCCTTCCTCCCTCCGCCCTGGTCTGTCTGACCGGCTGCTCATGTGTCCTGGAAGCCGTCTCCTACCTCTCCAGGGTGCCCACTCTTCCCCTGCCCTGGACGCTGGGACCTGCCCGGTGGCCTCCAGGGCCCCTTGGCAGCCCAGGGCCGCTGGTGCGCAGGGTCCTGAGGGTACTGGACCGCGTGCTCCCTGCTCCCCCTGGGCGTGCCCCTGACCCTGCGCGTGCCCCCTGACCCTCCCCGCGCGTGCCCCCCGCCTCCCCGCGCGTGCCCCCTGGCCCTGCGCGTGCCCCCTGACCCTGCGCGTGCCCCCTGACCCTCCCCGCGCGTGCCCCCGCCCCCCCCAGTGCATGCCCCCTGACCCTGCGCGTGCCCCCTGACCCTCCCCGCGCGTGCCCCCGCCCCCCCCAGTGCGTGCCCCCTGACCCTGCACGTGCCCCCTGACCCTGCGCATGACCCCTGACCCTCCCCGCGCGTGCCCCCGCCCCCCCCAGTGCATGCCCCCTGCCCCGTGCGTGCCCCCTACCCCCCTGGGCGTGCCCCCGCCCCCCCCAGCTCCTGCCCCCCTGACCCCGCGCGTGCCCCCTGCCCCCCGCGCGTGCCCCCTGCCCCGCGCGTGCCCCCTGGCCCCCCGCGTGCCCCCCCCCCCGCGCTTGCCCCCTGCCCCCCCGTGTGCCCCCTGCCCCCCATGTGCCCCCTGCCCCCCCGTGTGCCCCCTGCCCCCCGTGTGCCCCCTGCCCCCCGCGCGCGTCCACTGCCCCCCGTGTGCCCCCTGCCCCCCGCGCGCGTCCACTGCCCCCCGCGCTTGCCCCCTGCCCCCCGCACGTGCCCCCTGCCCCCCGCACGTGCCCCCTGCCCCCCGCGTGCCCCCTGCCCCCCGTGCCCCCTGCTCCCCCGCGCGCCCCCCTCACGGTGCGGGGCCGGTGGGCAGCGCTGCCTCTCCCCGCAGGCAGCAGAGCGCGGGCCGCGCGCGCTCGGTGTGGGAGCAGCGGGCCAGCCAGCTGCGGCTGCAGAACCTGCGCGCCAGCTGCGAGGCGCTCTACAGCGAGCTGGACCCCGAGGAGCGGCTGCGCTTCGCCTCCGCGCGCCGCCTGCGCCCCGACATGAAGACTCACCTGGACCGGCCGCTGGTGGTGGAGCCCGGCCGGGACGGGCCCCGCGGCCCCGCGGGGAGCAGGGCCCGGCCCGACGGCCCCGAGGCCGCCGCGGACCCGGACCCGCCGCGCCGACACCACCGGCACCGGGACCGGGAAAAGGCCCCGGGGCCCGCGGCGGGCGAGCCGGACCGGGTCGACGTCTCGAAGGCGGAGGGCGCCGAGGCGGCGCCGGCGCGGGAGGAGCCGGCGCGGGAGGAGCGCCCGCGCCCGCGCCGCAAGGAGGCGGCGGGCGGCCCCGAGGCGCCGCGGGGCGAGCGGGGCGAGCGGGGCCGCGGCCCGGGCCCCGACAGCGGCCGGCGCCACCACCGGCGCGGCTCCCCGGAGGAGGCCGCCGAGCGAGAGCCCCGGCGCCACCGCGCCCACCGGCACGGCCCGGACGCGGGCAAGGAGGGCGCGGCGCCCGCGGCCAAGAGCGAGCGGCGCCCGCGGCACCGCGGCCCGCGCGCCGGCGCCCGGGACGCGGAGAACGGCGAGGAGCCCGCGCGGCGGCACCGCGGGCGGCACCGGGCGCTGCCCGCGCCCGAGCCCCAGGAGCCGGGGGAGAAGGAGGCGGCCGAGAAGGAGGCGGAGAGCGCGGGAGGGGACAAGGAAGTCCGGAACCACCAGCCCAGGTATGGACACGCGGGAATGGCCCGGGGACCTGAGGGCCGGGGGACCTGAGGGCCGGGGGGGACGATCTGAGGGCCGGGGGACCTGAGGGCCGGGGGACCTGAGGGCCGGGGGACCTGAGGGCCGGGGGGACCTGAGGGCCGGGGAGATGATCTGAGGGCCGGGGGGAGGATCTGAGGGCCGGGAGATCTGAGGGCCGGGGGGAGGATCTGAGGGCCGGGAGATCTGAGGGCCGGGGGGACGATCTGAGGGCCGGGGGGAGGATCTGAGGGCCGGGAGATCTGAGGGCCGGGGGGACGATCTGAGGGCCGGGGGGACGATCTGAGGGCCGGGGGGACGATCTGAGGGCCGGGGGACCTGAGGGCCGGGGGGACCTGAGGGCCGGGGGACCTGAGGGCCGGGGGACCTGAGGGCCCGGGGGACGATCTGAGGGCCGGGGGGACGATCTGAGGGCCGGGGGGACCTGAGGGCCGGGGGACCTGAGGGACGGGGGGACCTGAGGGCCGGGGGACCTGAGGGCCGGGGGACCTGAGGGCCGGGGGGACCTGAGGGCCGGGGAGACGATCTGAGGGCCGGGGGGATGATCTGAGGGCCGGGAGATCTGAGGGCCGGGGGGAGGATCTGAGGGCCGGGGGACCTGAGGCCCGGGGGACCTGAGGGCCGGGGGGACGATCTGAGGGCCAGGGGATCTGAGGGCCAGGGGATCTGAGGGCCGGGAGGACGATCTGAGGGCCGGGGGATCTGAGGGCCGGGGGACCTGAGGGCCCAGGGGACGATCTGAGGGCCCGAGGATCTGAGGGCCCGGGGACCTGAGGGCCGGGGGATCTGAGGGCCGGGGGGACGATCTGAGGGCTGGGGGGATGATCTGAGGGCCGGGGGACCTGAGGGCCCGGGGGACGATCTGAGGGCCGGGGGGGACCTGAGGCCCGGGGGACCTGAGGGCCGGAGGGACGATCTGAGGGCCGGGGGGGACGATCTGAGGGCCGGGGGACCTGAGGATCGGGGAACCTGAGAGCCGGAGGATCTGAGGGCCGGGGGGATGATCTGAGGGCTGGGGGGATGATCTGAGGGCCGGGGGGATGATCTGAGGGCCGGGGCATCTGAGGGCCGGGGGGACAATCTGAGGGCCGGGGGACCTGTGGCCTGGGGGACCTGAGGGCTGGAGACCTGAGTATTGTGTGGGACCAGAGGGTTGAGGGGACCTGAGGGCCGGGGGGTCCTGAGGGTTGAGGGGTCCTGAGGGTTGAGGGGACCTGAGGGCCGGGGGGACCTGAGGGTCATGTGGGAACTGAGGGCCGGGGGGTCCTGAGGGTCATGTGGGACCTGAGGGCCGGGGGGGACCTGAGGGCCGTGCTAGTGTGGAGTCCTGAGTAGGTGGGCACATGGGGGTTGTGGGGACCTGGTTACTTTGGGAACTGGGTAGCTGGGGATCTGGGGACCTGGTGTCTTCATATGGGAGTCGTGGAGGGAAGGAGTTGGGCTGTTTGATGCTGGACCCTGATAACCTGGCTGTTAGAACAAGGTGATTCTGTTCTACCACCTGCTTCTGCCACTGGTCCCTTTCTGTCTTAGTAAAATGCTCAGAGGGACACGCAGCCGGTGAGTTCAGTGAATTTTAGCCATTAATCAAAGGCTCCCAGGGAAGGGGCTGAGAGCTTAGCTCAAAGCTGTTGTCAGCAAGTACAGGTGGCTCGTACCTATAGTCCTGGCTACTCAGGAGGCTGATATGGGTCTTGCAGTTTGGAGACAGCCCAAGAAAACAGTCTATGCAACTCCAGGAGTTCACCTGCAAAAAGTTGGAACTAGAGGCATATTGTAAAAGGTATAGCTTCAGCCATTAGTGAAAAGCCGAGTAGGAGGAGAGGATAAGGCCCTGAGTGCCAGCCCACACACATATCAGGACTGAGTGGCCTGAAGGGAAGGAAAATCTGGAAGTACTGTGGAAGAAGGAGGGCTGAAAAGCCTGAGGGGAGCCTGAAGAGGCTCTGGGCAGGGTGGAACAACTGAGGGGCCAGATGAGTGCAGAAAGGGACCCTAGGCCATCTACTTGCTCCCTGGCTCCAGACTGCAAGAGACATGGGGACTGAGGCCACAAGTCAACCAGGACAAGGAAGTCAGAGGATACCACTAGCACCAGCCCAACGGAGGCACTGTCTTTGTGTGCAGGGGTCTGTCTTGGGCCTGAGGCTTGGTGGTACAACAGGTCCAGATTTCTTGGGAAGTGTTGGGCTCCAGACCATTTCATTCTGCATTCAGTTCTGATCCACATGTCTACTGTGATGCCAACAACACCTGGTTCTGCCAGGGAATACAGATGAGTTAGCTCCCTGACTACCTTCTGGACATAAAGACACAAAAGTGTACAGGGCAACAGAAGCCAGTACAAAATGACAGAGTAGCAGAAGAGATAGTTGGGCTTTCCTTGGTCTGGGCAGAGGTAGAGGTTAAAGGAGTAGGTTTGTAGACTTGACAGTTTTGACATTGACTCAGACTGACATTTGTTTCCTGTTTCAGGGAGTCTCACTGTGGCCTTGAGGCCAGTGGGGTGACGAGCATGGGTCCTGTGCACACACTGCCCAGCACCTCTCTCCAGAAGGTGGAGGAACAGCCAGAGGATGTGGACAACCAGCGGAATGTCACTCGAATGGGTAGTCAACCCTCAGACCCTAGCACTACTGTGCACATCCCAGTGACATTGACAGGACCTCCTGGGGAGACTGCAGTGGCTCCCAGTGAGTACCTTCCTGTTCCAGTGGCACAGGCCCAGCTATACCATCTCTGTGGCTCCATGCAGCTGCTGGGGACCCAGCTTGTCTCTATGAATTGTGCTCCCAGCTGAAAAGAAAGTCCTTTGCTGTGAGCATTTGTCCCTTGGTGTCTCTTTGCCTTCTATTGACCCAGAGGCAACTGTAGGTTAAGCTCCATTTAACACACACACACACGGCTTTCAAGTGTCTTTGAGTTTCTAGCTACTTCCAGGCTGGGTGTGAGAGGACTGAAAATACAGTGGAGAGGGCCAATCTTGCCAGAAAGACAGACCACAGATGCAAAATGACATAACCCTTTATGGTTGAACAAAAGCCGCTAAAAACTGTGGCCGCGGTCTTAACTGGGACTGAGAGCTTATAGGGGGAGAGGTAGATCTCATAGCTTTCTCCCACTTGCTTATGTGTCCTTTTCCCAAGCTGCCTTCTTTCTTTCCACATGGGGAGATAAACCTGAGGGAGCAGGCAGTGAGGGCAAGGTGAACAAGCTGTGTAGTAGGCAAAGGCCTGCAAGTGACTAATGTGGCTCTCCTATAGTAGGGAAAGTGTGTGAACACAGAGACTCTATAGAGAAAACATTCCAGGAGGGATAGGATGGACCTCACAGAAGGCCATAAAGCACCGAGTTCAGGAGGAAACTGGCCAGCTTGATCAGGTGCCCTGCACATTATATCCCTGTTTGCAGATGTTGTTACACCATACGCATTCACATACCTTTCCTTCGTGTACTTTGTCTCTCACTGGGGCCCCAACCAGGCACAGTCCCAGGTGGACCAGGATGGTGGTGGCTGTGGCTGCTCACTCACTCTTCCCTTACTCTCAGTTTCCTCAAAAGAAAGATGATCCTGGTCCATTCTTGTTTCATTTTTCTGTTTTTCCAGCTTCCTCTGATTCTCTCTGGATTTGCCTGGCTTTTGTTCACAAGAGACCTTTGTTCCCTCAGCCCCTCATCCTTGCTGGCAACCACTCGTATTTTAACTGCTTCTCATTTTGCCTTTTCCAGAAACAACCTTTTCAGGATGGGTCTTTCACGTAGCGTATCACTTACTCCATGTCAGTAAGTTGTCTCATCAGCCATCCCTTTTCAGGACTAGATTACACGGTTATACAGATGGACCACTCACCTAGTGAAGGACATTGTTGTTGCTTCCATTTTTGGCAATTATAAATAGATATTCATGTTCAGGTTTTTTTTTTTGTTGTTGTTGTTGGTTTGTTTTTGGTCCTTGGGCTTGAACTCTGTACCTGGGCACCGTCCCTGAGCTCTTCAGCTCAAGACTAGTGCTCTACCATTTGAGCCACAGAGACACTTCTGGTTTTCTGGTAGTTAATTGGAGATAAGAGTCATGGACTTTCCTGTCTGGGCTGGCTTTGAACTGCAGTCCTCAAATCTCAGCCTCCTGATTAGCTAGGATTACAGGTGTGAGCCACTGTTGCCTAGCATGTTCAGGTTTTTTTGTGATCTGTTTACAACTAATTTGGGAAGTGAAAACTTGAGTCTGGCATCTTAGACCACTTGGCCATGCTGACATATTCTTTTTTTTTTTGGCAGTCATGGGGCTTGAACTCTGGGCAGGGTGCTGTCCCTGAGCTCTTCAGCTCAAAGCAAGTACTATACCACTTGAGCCACAGCACCACTTCCGGCTTTTTCTGTTTATGTGGTACTGAGGAATTGAACCCAGGGCTTCATGCATGCGAGGCAAGCACTGTACCACTGAGCTACATTCTTAGCCCTGCTGACGTGTTCTTTTTTTTTTTTTTTTTGGTCGGTCGTGGGCCTTGAACTCTGGGCCTGGGCGCTGTCCCTCAGCTCTTCAGCTCAAGGCGAGCGCTCTACCACTTGAGCTACAGCGTCACTTCCGGTTTTCTAGTAGTTTATTGGAGATAGGAGTCTCACGGTCTTTCCTGCCCGGGCTGGCTTTGAATTGCGATCCTCAGATCTCAGCCTCCTGAGTAGCTAGGATTACAGGCGTGAGCCACCAGCGCCCGGCTTTGCTGACATGTTCTATAGCTAGTTTGAGTAAACACTTGAGCAGTTGGTTATATGGTCAGATTCTCAGATCCCTCCCCCCCCCCTGCTGTCATCCGTCATAGGGCTTGAACTCTGGGCCTGGGCGCTGTTCCTCAGCTCTTTAGCTCAAGGCTAGCACTCTACCACTTGAGTCACAGCACCACTTCTGGTTTTCTGGTGGTTTATTGGAGATAAAAGTCTCATAGACTTTCCTGCTTGGGCTAGCTTTGAACCGTAATCCTCAGATCTTAGCCTCCTGAATAGCTAAGATTACAGGTGTGAGCCACCGATGCCCAGCTTTTTTTTTTTTTTTTTAAGAAACTGCCGATTGACGGGCTGGGAAGGTGGCTCAGTGGTAGAGCACTTGCCCTGCAAGCATGAGGCCCTGGGTTCGATTCCTCAGTACCACATAAACAGAAAAAGCTGGAAGTGGTGCTGTGGCTCAAGTGGTAGAGTGCTAGCCTTGAGCTGAAGAGCTGAGGGACAGCGCCAAGGCCCAGAGTTCAGGCCCCACTACCGGACCCCCCCAAAGAAAATAAATAAATAAAATTCTTTAAAAAAAAAGAAAGAAATTGCCGATTGAGCAACTATTGCTGTCTGAATGGTCAAGTAGCATAAAAATAACCCCTCCATCATCAAAAGTTGTAATTTTTAGATTGCACATAGTTTCTTGTCTTCAAAGATTTTTTTTTATCATATACGTGCTGAAAAACAGTAACTTTCTGAGAACCCATAAAAATATTCCTTGGATTGTTGGAACAAAAAAAACAAAATAAATTACCAATTGAACTAAAAAAAACAAAAAAAGAAATTGCCAAACTGTCTTCCAAAATGACTGCACCATTTTACATTCCCACAGTGACACCTGAGAAGTGGGGCTGCTGACCTCATCAGGAGCGCCTTGGTACTGGACATAGCACTAGTTACAGGTTCTAATGTTCTGCTGGGTTTCAGTCTTGCTTTGCATCCATCTTCCTTTCTATGCTCCTATTCTTCCATTTTGGAATTGGAATGTTTATTCAGTGTCATTATATTTTGGAAGTATGTAACTTTGTTTTAATTTTTACCATGGACTCATGGCTAAGAATTTGCTTTGGTTCTCAGAGGAAATTTTAAACTTGGGCTTTTGAATAATGCTGGGACTGTTAAGACTTTGTGGACTCCTGGAGATGGAGTAAATGGATTTAGCATTGTAAGATGGCTGTAGGACTTTGGGTATCAGAGTTTGAGTGTGAAATGTCCCTTAGAGAGAACAAAAAAAGAGATGAAATTTGAGACTGTAAATTTATGGCATTAAGCTTCCTGGTCTACAGAGATTCCTCCACCCCCAAATTATATATCTTCTATTTTTTTGAATCCTCAAATTTTGTATTAGTTTTAGTGCTTGTTCTCTCTTTTTACAAGTACATTATCAAAATTTCTACCCCTCCCCCCCCATTCTCACAAATCTAGTTCTCTTTTTTCCCAAGACTTAGGCCTCTCATTATTATTTATTTGTCTGGTTGCATTGACTGACACACTGTTGGGTAACACTGTAGTCAGTGGGTACCCATGCCTTGTTTGTAAGTAAGATTCTGGTTTGAGACATGTCTGGTGAAGGATGTCTAAACTGTGTGTAAAATCATGTTATAGTACCCAGGAATTCTGACTTTGTTCAACGTTTTTATTTGGCAACTATGTTGAATTCTCTGAAGGTATATTTAGCATCCACAGAGATCATATTTTTCTGTTGAATATGGAATTATATGGGCAAAAAATTCTTGATAAGGGGGCTGGAAGTTGGCTCAGTGGTAGAGTGCTTGCCTTGCATGTATGAGGCCCTGAGTTCGATTCCTCAGCACCACATAAGCAGAAAAAAGCCAGAAGTGGCGCTGTGGCTCAAGTGGTAGGGTGCTAGCCTTGAGCTGAAGAGCTGAGGGACAGGGCCCAGGCCCAGAGTTCAGCCCCCACGACCGAATAAAAAAAAAAATTCTTGATAAGGAAGCATTTTTGCAATCTTAGAATGAGTTCTTTATTATATTATTTTTTAGGCTGTTGGATTTTGTTTAATATTTTATGTAAGACTGTTAGGTTGATGTGTGTGTGTATACTGGGGCTTGAACTTATGGCCTGGGCATTGTCTCTTAGCTTTTTCTGTTCAAGACTATCATTCTGCCACTTGAACCACAGCTCCACTTCTGGCTTTATGATGGTTCATTGGAGATAAGTGTCTCAGAGACTTTAGTGCCTGGGATGGCTTTGAACTGTGATCCTCAAATCTGAGCCTCCTGAGTATCTAGAAGATTGATATTTTCTAAGTGTGGCGTTTTGATGCTGTTTTGTATTAGGGTTAAGAATTGCAAGGTTTAGATGTTAATGCTGTATAGTTAGTGTAAGGTATGTTAAATAGGTAGGTTTCATTAGGTAGCCAATGAAGAGAACACCATGTGGTATTCAGGCAGGAAAAGAAGTTTATTTACCAAACTGCTGCCTTACACGATGGAGAGGCATGACCGGAAGGGTTGACTTACCTGTAACGCTAACCCTACTCCCTTACCCCCCCCCCCACACACTTATCAAGAAGAGGTGTGGCCAGGTGGGGGAAAGGTGTGGCCACACTGGATCTGGATGTAATCTCAGGGCCTGGAACCCTCCTATGGTCAGATGGGAGGCATGACCAGAGACCGCCCAGGATGTGACCTAGCAGGAGGGGGAGGTTACTGCTTCCAGATGTGTCAGTTACCTAGGTAACACAGATTTTGGTCAGAAACTGACTAAGAGGTAGGGAGGTGAGGTGTCTGCACAGGGCCTGCATGGCCGGGGCAAACCACAGTTATCACTTGTATAACTTTACTATTCAATTCCTGAAAATCAGTTGTTTCAAATGAGACCTGTATTTTATATTTTACATTATATTGTATTATTTTCATAATGCTGGGGCTAGAAAACAGGAGAAAAACTTTCCTACTAAGCCATA